TTACATGAAAAGATCTTTAGCAAGTCCTGCCATTTAAAAATTGTTTTTTTAAAAAACGTTCCTGGAGATTTTTTTTCTGTCAATAGACTAATTGATAAACTGACTAATCAATTTCTGCTCTATAATACAGTAATCCTTTCTAAGTAGGGGTCAGAGTAAGATGTATTTCCACCTTTCCACCTTCAAGGTAATGTCTAACCCAAACTGTGCAGTATTTTTGCACACTGTTGTTCCTGGAAATGTTTTGAAAAATTATGAATGAGTTCATTAACTCAAACAATAGCACACCATGGGAAACAGCAATGCTATTTCCCATATGAAACTGTTTGCATCATACATGCTTTGCTGTCTTGTGTGTAGGAGCATCAGCATTACATGTCTGGACATGTCTGCTGCATGAGAGGAGGCTCACTCAGCCCCAGTGAGTGTATGGTGAGGATGCAGAGCAGAATGTGAGTGATAATGCTTGGATAATTGTTTGCCCGGACACTGAAGAGTTTCAAGGTAATATGATTAATCTCTTCAGATTTGTGAGGAGGTTGTGGTTGAAAAAGATCCACCAGAACTTAAATTGGAACTTGTGTTTTGCTTTGCGGTAAAGGTCATGCAGTGTTATAACCTGCAGCAGCTGGAGCCCACTTGAGTCTTCATTGTGTTTCCTGCTGAAGGCTACTGTGTGAGAGTATGTGAGTTTAAGATAGAGCACTGAGAGGCCGTGTAGATACATCTGTGTGTTTCAAAATGGAGGAATGTAAGCGTAATGCAATGCTTCTCTGCTGACACGACGTGGTAGAGGGCTACTGCCAAAACTGCTATTACCATGACTGTTATTCCTTAACTAATGTTTGTCCCCATTTATACTACTACTGCTCTAACTCAGACTAACTCACCAGCTTTCAATAGTTAATGCTTGTAAGATAACATAGAACTTGTTAGGGTTTGGAGCACTCCCTCTCATTACATTCAAAGGAATGTAACACTTGTGGCAAAGCTTGCAGTGGTGTATGCTCAGACTTAAAGAGCACATACAACTGGGCCAGCAAAACCCCTCTGTCAGGTTGAACCACAATAGTCAGCATCCAATAATATTCAGTCGTATCTAACTGACTGTAACTGTCAACAAAGATGAAATATTTGTGCTGAAGTTTTTCTGGTGATGCCTGATAACGGCCTACAAATCACAGCGTAATTAATTCTACAGTACATACCGATACTTGTAGGCACAAAGGAACAAGATGTGATGTTAGGGAGTAAGGAGGAGGTAGTAACTGGATGGGTAGATTTGATGATAACAAAATAAGAATATAGACCTGTAGACTGTATGATACTGTGTATGTTACTCTGTATGTTGTGAACTTCATGACAGGTTTATGTGGACTGACACATGTGCTGTCCATTGTTGTTATGTACTGCAGTAATGATGAGGTTCCTCAGTAAATACAGCTGAAGGGTCACAGAGACAGGTGTTGAAGATGACCTGTCACTGTATTATCATTATAAACATTAGAGGACACTACTAGAACACACTACAATCACTGAACCTTTTTTATTGTCATCACGTCATTTTGTAATATTAAAATGAAGCATGTATCTACTGACAGTGAACTTCAACAAATTTACATTTGCATAAAACTGAGCAGACATCGATGGGGGACTCTTGTTTATGACCTGTGTGCGGCTCTCAAGGATGGTCGTGCTCATACTAGCTAGAAATACTTACAGTAAATTCCCCTTAAATTCCTCCCAAATGCTAGATTGTCTCACGAGGCCATACTGTACCCTGTAATATTAGAATCAGTAGGATGTTCCCAGATTGTTTCCTTCTTATTCCCTAACTTTACATCTTCTCTTTTATTGAGCTAGAAACGGCAAGACAGATTTGACAGTTGTGTTTTCATGCAGTCTCACTCTTGAGCTACTCAGTACAGTGAACATTTTGCTCCACACAACTCCAGCTGGATTTGTGAATTCTCACAGGAAAGCTTATTTCAGTTCATTTGGCTGACATTAATTCTGACCCTCAATGTACAGTGAGCCATTTCAAGGCAAGTAAACTACAGTGTCTTGTAGATGCCCTTAATGCTCCACGATGGGGTCCTGTCATATTACTTTCCGTTCCGTTGCTACGGGGATTGTGTAGATCCTGAGGTTTACATAGGCCTGGCAGCTTCTTGGGAGGAATTTGAGTCACAGTAGGGAGATGAGGCTGTAGCCCCTTGGCAAGGAAGACATGCAGCACATGTTTTCTCAGGTTCTGCAGTTGGGGAAACACATCTTATTACTTCAGTAGTTCAATGTGTGTGTGTGTGTGTGTGTGTGTGTGTGTGTGTGTGTGTGTGTGTGTGTGTGTGTGAGAGAGAGAGAGAGAGTGAGAGTGAGAGAGAGAGAGACAGTCACAGTGGTTGGGCTCAGTCTGGGGCCAGAGGGGTTGAGGGATAGATAAAGAAATTCTCCAAACAGTACTTTATTGAGTATTTATGATTCAAGGAATAATTGACTACAAGTGCTTTATATGCAACTTAGTTGCTACTGCACATAATTCTCTTTGGCTATGCACATTACACCTCTTGTTCTAGGATGAGAAAGTTCAGGAACCCCCCACACACACACACACACCTAAGAGCCTTTGAAAGTACAATGTTCACTAGGCGGGGTGTAATAGCAGCATTGTGTGATTTGTTACATTTTCTGTGTTTTCCCCAGTCTGCACTCGAGGTAGAAGGGACACGCTGCTTGAAGAGCAGCTAACTGGCTGGCCTGGTGGTTGAGTGTCTGTCTTCAGTCTGGCTCTCTCTGTTGTGTGCTGTACAGGATAAGGAGGAGGCCCTTGGGTGAGGAGGGCCCAAGTGCCAAGTAGCTGGGCGGTGGGGTGTTTATCAGCGCTGCCTGCCTGCACTGAGGGAACTATCTCTGGGGAAGTGATGGGGAGGCCTGGGGACACCCGGTGGGGGTGGCAGGTTACTCAGAGTCACTTTGCCGCTGAATAGAGACTCTAATTGTAGGGCAGCTCACAGGGCAGATTAGTAAGAGATTTGTCTCTACAGGGAAAATGCATATGAAAATGAACAAGAATGAAGCAGTGCGTTAAAACAGCTTTGACGTGCTAAACACACCGAACAATCTAGTCCTCTGTCAGTTTTGTGTTTGTGCATATGTGTTAGTGTCTCGGCATGTATATGCCAATGTGAATATCTCACAGTTATTCACATTCATGCAGTATGTCCATCTGAGCAAAGCCTCTCTGAATCTCCAGCTCTCTCTCTCTCTCTCTCTCTCTTTCTCTCCCTCCCTCACCCTCCGTCTGTTGCTCCCTCCCCCTCCTTCCCTCTCTGTGTGAGCGTAGTCTGGGCGCAAAGCCAAGTAGAGTGTGTTTTTTTGAATGAATACCTGATGCGGCTGATGAGGCTGGCTGGGGGAGGAGCTGTGTCAGTGGAGTACTGAGAGAGAGAGAAAGAGGAGGGAGGTAGAGAGGGAAAGGGAGAGAGAGAGAGAGAGAGAGAGAGAGAGAGAGAGAGAGAAGCAGCCAGGCAGAGAGGGAGCTGGCGGTCTGGTGGCCTTGCATAACACACGTTGGAGCAGCCTTGAACGCAGGACTTGGTTTGAGCTTCAGCAGTGGGGAACTTCCTTTACCGTCAGCCCGTTGCAGGGGCAGCGTAGCCTCCAAACCGGAGAGTCCAGAGAGGGAGGCAGAGCTGGAGCAGCTACAGCTACAGGCTCCAGGAGAGGAGAGCGGCACAAAGGAGAGATTCAGGAAGAGGAGTCCTAGGAAACACGTCTCCAACACACACACACACACACACACACACACACACACATACACACACACTCTAAGAGGCAGGAAGAATCCTTGGACATGCTCTGCAAGCAGTGGCTGTGGAGAGACTGGTGAGCTATTCTTAGTACTCTAACCAGTGGGGGGGTGGGTTGTCTCTTTTCTTCTTGATTTGTGGCACAGTAGTATTTTCTGCCCTGCTACTACACTCATGCGCTCTCACTGTCATTCTAAAGCCCCCAGAGGCTACAGTCACAGAGTCACAGTTGTGCGATTCAACAGCATTGACCCTGTTCGGTGGTAGAGGTGCTTGCTGAGTGGGACGCCTGCATACACATCTCTGCTCGTATACTGTGTGATTGGTGTGTGTTGAGCAGTGATGCAGAACTCTGGAGTCATTGTGAAGACAAACAGCCTGAACCCACTGCCTGTTCTTACTGTCTGCTTTAGTCTGCCACACGGTAGGTCCGCCTCTTAAAGGCACAGGCACCACTGTTGTACAGAAAAGGGGCAGTAAAATGGTTCTTTCGGGTATTAGAGAAAAGCTGTACACTGTATTGATCTGCTCTGTGGTTAAAGCAGCTATGTTTGTAAGGGGGTTGAGGGGAGGTCCTATTTATATGCAGCGAATCACACATACACGCACGTACATATTGTCTTCCCCAGTACCTCCCCCTCTGCTTTATGCCAGAGCTCAGATTGATAATGATGTTTTTGTTTTCTATATATAGCCGTTTGCTGTACAGGGTTTTCACTGTGTATCTATGACTGGTCTAGCAGGTGAAACATGAAGTATAGCAGTATTGACAACAGGTCTATAACCCCAGGGTCATTGCATTAGCTTTTTGCATGAATCTTTTGCATAGAAGCAACATCTCAGTACACTGTCACTAAATAATTGTGTTGCCTTTCTATCGCCCCCCTGCATCATCCTGCTGCAGAGAAACGTTATCGGTATGGAGCCTTGGATTAATGAGGAGTAAATAGTGGGGATGGGAGCATGAGAGAGAAGACTCGGTGCTCAGGCGGAAGGAGTGGAGGTGGGGGACTGGAGGAGCTGGCGACTGCTGCGTAAGAGGGGAAATGTAACTGCTGGGGGGGCCTCTCACCTGGAGACAACAGAGAGGAGGCTGAATGAAAACATCTCATCTGCACTCCTGCGCGCAGGTTGACGGCAGACACACGCCACTACACAAACCTATTTCTCTGGTTTGTGCAGCTTTTTACGTGGGAGTATGAAAGAGGATCACATGCGAGGCTGGCTCTATCACTGAGCTGAAAAGCATCAGTGTGATGAGCAGAACAGAGAGTGGCCTGTCCCCCCCCCCCTCTGTCCCTCTGTTGTCATCCCTCCATACATGTCTCAGAGGTGACGGTCCAGGACGAGGAGACTGACTCAGGGCTCCCATGCTGTCTGGCTCGGTGTGACAGTCTTGAAAGCTCGCCTTTGTTCTCCATAGTATCACATAGGCCGTATGTTTGTTAGTGTCACTATTCTAATAATAGGCTGATGCTGGAAAATCTAGAGAGGCTTTTGGCTGCTGAGCTGTGTGTGTGACCATGTGCAGAGAGTGTTATATATAGGGTCATGTGAGGAAAAGGAGAAACACCTTCTTTAAGAGCATCCTGCTGTATCTGTGGTGTGTTTTTGTGGCATTTGGAAATCAGTGCATGCTGGCTTTGTCTTCCTGTGCTGCTATAATCATAGGAGGTACTTGTGCTTCAGATGTGATGTCATTACAGTGTTGACACGGTGTTGCTGAGGTGGGGTTGTTGCCACTGAGCGATGCTGCACAGTGTAGCTCAGGCTGTAGCGGCGGCTGTGTTGCTGATCGGGGATCTCTCAGTGAGGCGGGGGCTATGGCGCTCTGATGCTGCAGGCGCTGCTCAATGTGGGTCAGGAGAGGCAGCACTCTGTCTTCTCCCCATTCTCTCTCCATCTTTCTCATTCCTAATCTTCTTTCTTCTCTCACGTCCCCCTCTACCTCCCTTTTCCCCCTTTCTACATAGTTCCATCTGTCATCTTACATTGCCTTTCTCCCTCTCCTCCCCCTCACTCTCCTCTTTCTGTTTCTGTTTTTCTCCAGCTCTGCTGCTCTCCTCCTTTGTTACGTCTGGTGGATCTACCAGGCTGTATGGTTAGATGAATCGCACGGAGGATTTCACTGCTTTTGAATGCAGTGACCTTGTCAGAGCCAGCATTAGAGGTAGACGCCTCTGAATAGGAACTGACCAAGGTCGCCTTCTATGTTTTTTCCCCCCTCTTCTGTCTTTATATAACATGTCTGTTGCTGCCTCCCGTAGTGAACCTCCTCTGTAATATGAAAACACAATTTAGCACTGTCAAATAGCCCGGGTCGTCTGACTGGAATGTAGGGGGAGAAAAATGAATGGATGGATGTGTGAGTGTGTGTCATACACTCTACATCTCTGTGGTGCCTCTGGCTAATGAACAACTCAGAGTCCTGTGCATTGACCCACAGATAAGCCTGCAGGAAAAAAACAGTCAATCTGAAAAAGAAACTGTGAAAAAAATGAGCTCATGCGAATCAAAAGGCTGCATGTCCATGTTGTTGAATTAATGGATCTACTACATATTGTTTGTGTGTGCATGTTTTAGCTTTGTGAACATGCCTTCATGTGGATCTACAGTATATGACACAGTATGTCCAGGCCCTGCAGTCAAACATTGATAATGGCTAGCTGCTGCTGTGGCTTGTTGACACAGTTAGGTACCGTACACCTTCTATACATCATGAGTTCCAGTAACCTCCACATAGCATTTTCAGTTCTAATTTAACCTAGGCACCCTGTCTGCCTCTGACTAAACCAAACTCTTAGAGGGCATACTCACTCATTGTTTGTTGTCCTATCGGTATTCCCTTGAACTTTGAAACACCACTCAAACGGGGTATAGCGGAAACCCATTGTTAAAATATTTTGAAGCACTTCAGTGATAGTAACAAAGGCCCATTTATGCTTCTTGCACAATGTTCCATAATCAAATTTCAAGCCATATTGTTTTCTCTTCATTTTCTAATGTGCCCACTGACCCAGAGTTCCTGTCTGGAGGTGGATGTTATATATACAGTAGCCCCACTGACTCAACACTAGGCCGGGGAGTGTTAAAACAAAGACAAAAGCATATGGTCCTATGAGGCTGTCACACTGTGCTGTTATCCGTTCACTCTGCTCTGCTTTCTTACCCTAGAGCCTGGAGCAAGATAACAGCCAACAGCAACGCACATAAACTTACCCTGTACACATGGGCAGGCGCACACACACACACACACACACACACACACACACACACACACACACACACACACACACACACACACACACACACACACACACACGTAGACACACAAACACTTCAGGAAACTCCTGCCTGGTGTTGGAAACATGAAAGAGCCTTTCCCATGTTATGTAAATGATGACACACAACATTTCTCTGTACTTTTCTGTAGTCATACATCATTACTCATGGAAATGCTGGTTGAGTTCTGGCAGATTTGTCCACGTAGATCCATGAGGGGCATCTTTAGAGGTTGATCTTGGAGCAACGTGTACAAGGAGTGGCCTGCATATTGTGTGAAAGTCCATTAGACAAACACGAATCAGATGTCGTAGTACCAGGTACCACCTTGTGGCAAAACAAAGAACAACACTCACAAACATGAAAGCAGGGACATTTTTAAGAGTGAAGTATTTTGGTGTTTGCTGTTTTGCATTTGCAGCCCTGCTGGAACATTTTGTGAATATGAAGAAAATACAGGCAGTGCTTACTGATCTTGCTTTGCAGTGCAATTAAACTAATGAGATTGAATTGAATTTTGAGTCAAGTCAAGTCAAGTCAAGTTTATTAATAAAGCCCAAATTCAAAGGTTGTCCTAGAGGGATATTAATCTGTATAGCATATGATTGGGACTTTTGAATAAAATTTTATGACTCAAGTACCTGATTCTGCTTCTCTCTGCCATCAGATTCCTGCTGACATCGTGGAAGAGGTGGATCGGTCAGAGATGATTCCTCATGAAGTCTATGGAGCTCATTTTGTGAGCTGGAGTAACTCCATCTTCTCTGGTCTGAGACCTGGAGCTATATACCAGTGAACACAGAGAGAGCCCCAGCCACACAGCACACAGAGAAACCGGACTCCTGCACAAAACCATCAAGTGGAGGAGAGAGAGAAAAAGACAGACCCAGAAGAACTCAGAAGTATTACCCAGGAATATTAAAACCACGCTGGGAAAATGAAATCCAACCAGGAGCGGAGTAATGGATGCCTGCCTCCTAAGAAGCGTGAGATCCTCGCTCTGGAGCAGAGGCCGGTTGCTGTAGCCACAGCAACACCTCCTGCTGCAGTGGTTACTGACAGTCCCCACACAGAGAACCTAGCATGGCTGGCAAGTGTAGCCAGTGAACGTTGCAAATCCAGGGACGCAGAGAGCCCGAGATGTCCCATCTCCTCCACTTCTTCATCTTCTCCTTCCACCTCTATCCCTTCCTCTGCCACTCCCCTGTCTGCCGTGCCCCTGGCCTCTCTGCCTGCAGTTTACCCCACAGCCATTCCCCAGCAAGCTGGGACTATCCAGTTTGCTCAGCTGGGACCCAACGTTCAGTTCATCAGCTCTGGGCCTTATGCTGGCTACATCTCCTCTCACATCATCTCCACTAATGCTAGCTCTGCACCAAACAGCTCTGCCATGGGACAGCGTCACCACCTGGATGGTTACACCACTGCCGTCATCTCCCCCAATACCAAAGGGGATCAGCAGTTTCAAATAGGCCTCTCTGCTACAGAACTGACACCTGTGTCGCTTCCAAGCTCCCCCCAAGTAACCAGCCAGTACATTCATCTGGACAGCAGAACACCTCTGACTGTCAGCGGAAACCACGTCACTTCACCCACAGCCCACCTGCAGCTCCACCCTCACACAGCCGTCCTCCCTCAAACGCTTACCCTTGCTCCATCCCAGCTGGTGGTTCAGTATGCAGACGGTTCAGCTGGAAAGAAACCAGAGGGGCACGCTAAGGGTGTGCTGAACGGGGAATTGGAGCTTGTCAAACAGAGCAAAACTCCCAGTCATCAAGTGAACCATCACCAGGTCCAGAGCTATGAGGCCAGACATATTCTCCTGCCTGCAGACTATGGCCAAAACCCAGCAGGACTCCAGACCTCCTTGGTGCTGGTGGCCCAACCCAATCATGGAGCTGAACGTGAAGCTGGCTCAAATAAGATCTCGTTAGTCCAGACTGAGAAAGGAGGCATCTGTTTGGGGAAACCAGTGTCCAGATCTTCCTCTTTCACATCTCTCTCTTCCTCAGACGTCATTAAGTCTGTTGCTCCTCATACTGTCATCCAGACCACTCTACCCTCCGAAGAGCTGCCAGCCAGTCTCTATTCCTCCACGCAGCCACCCATCATTGGCTATATCACCAGTGCAAATCAACATGCTCTCAGCTACCACGCGACACTGCCTCAACACCTAGTCATCCCGAGTGGCCAGTCCCTCCTCATCCCAGTCAGTGGCACCAATAACGGCACAGAAGTAGAGGTCAGTCGTACTGTCAGTGCTCTAACTGCCACCACTACCCCTCAAATATCCACCGCCATGCCGCATGCCTATCTGGCCACAGCCCTGTCCAAGTGTGAGGCGCTTGGGCCAGATGGACATCAACCACCCCCGGCCGTCGCACAAGCACCAGCGCTGCCGGTCGTGCCCTCACACCCGGCTCCTGCAGTGGTGGCACCTCCCTCCCCAACTCCTGCTCCTCTCCCCGCTCCTGCCCCTGTTTCCATCCAAGCCTCCCCCTCCATCTCCTCTTCCTCTTCCCCTGTGGCGCTTCCTCCATTCTTCATGCGAGGCTCCATCATCCAGCTGGCTGATGGGGAGCTGAAGCGTGTGGAGGACCTGAAGACGGAGGACTTCATCCAGAGTGCTGAGATTAGCAGTGAGCTGAAGATTGACTCCAGCACTGTTGAGCGTATTGACAGTGGGCAAAGTCCTAATGCTGTGGTCATACAGTTTTCTGTGGGGGAGCTCAAAGCCCAGGTAAATTATTCCTCCTTACATTTTTAAAGTCACTCTGTATAGAATTTGAAACCTTAAAGCATTGGCTCTGCCTAGTGATAGTATTAAGAAATACCACTGTGATAACAATACACACTTAAATAAATAGTCAGCAGAATTCCATATTCTATCTAAAATTGATGAGAAAATGTATTAAGAGCTATGAAATCTACCCCAGATACAGAACAGAGAGAATTGAATCTTCTTCCTTCATGTCATTATTTTCCAATCTACCATTGTTCTCTAGCAGTACCAACAATGCTCCCTCTTGTGTACCAGATGCCAAAATAACATTTCATTATGCAAACCTTGGCTTTTGAAAGACCAAAAGACATTCTTTTTAGAGATAAATGAAGCCAGCAATATTACAGACCCCATGTCTGTAAAGGGCTACAGAGCTCTTAAGGGTGACACCAACATTGATATTTTAGAAGGGTTTCAAAAATATATATGTTGTTTTAAAAGTTAAAGTTAAAAAGAAATTGTTTTTTAAAGAATTGTACAATTTTAATTGGACAATTTCCTGAGAAGTTTATATAAAATACATTTGTTTGTGCTCTCAATCAATCAAATAGTGAAATAATTTCATTTGGCATTTCTAATACTGATTTATCTGTAATGAGCAAAAATTTTATTAGGTGTGCCAGTATCTTGGTTGGGCTCTAAAATAGACTTTTGACAGCAGAAAAGCACAGGTGTAAATAATAACATTGACAATGGCTTCAGTCCATTCAGTGTCCAAGTAAGCCCAGTAAGCCGTGACAGTGTGACAGTGAGCCAGAATGCACAATGCCAGGACCCTAAACGTAAAGGTGTAGGATTTAGTGGAATCTAGCAGGGAAGTTGCAGATTGCAACTAACTGAAGACTTTGCGTCCATATTTGATGACTTGGGAATGAGAACGGGCTGTGAAGTGTGTAGGAGAAACTACAATGGCAGTGAAACTCGCGGAAAGCGCATCACAAAGGCCCTGTCTGTCCTGGTCTATTGTAAAAACGTGGCGGTTCAACATGGTGACCTGCAGCGTCTGTTGATTAAAAGCGTCTCATTCTAAGGTGAAGAAAACACAACGATAAAAACTCAACTTATATTCAGGTGATCACATACTAATGAAAACATACCTATAAATATTATATTCCATTTCTGCCAATAGATCCTCCTAAATGTTACATACTGGACCTTTAGGCAGCTAAATCGAATTTAGACATCATTCACTTTATTATTTACTGTGATTTCCTACTGTGACACATCAAAATGTCCTCTGTTCAAACAAAAACTACAGAATTATTTCCAAGGTGCATAATCCCATACAAATGTGCATTAAACAGTGTTTCTTTTATGAATCCTCTGCAAATATGTCCCCCTGTATCCAGCTAAGCGCTAACTGTGTGTGTTGTGCATGTGCTTATCTCCAGGTTTGCGTGGAGGTTCTTGTGGAGTATCCCTTCTTCGTATTTGGCCAGGGTTGGTCATCCTGCTGCCCAGACCGGACCACCCAGCTGTTTGAGCTGTCCTGCGCTAAGCTGTGTGTGGGTGACGTATGCGTGTCGCTGACCCTCCGCGGCTTGAGGAACGGTTCAATAACAGACAGCCAGCATTTGGGGACCAAGCTGAAGACTGGTCACCTCTCTGACTCCTGTCATAATGTGGATGTCACTATCAGAAACAGTACGAGTCCAAACGCTGCACACAATAACAGTGGCCTCCTCATGAAGGCTCCAAGTGCAGACAGGCTGGAGAGGGAGCAGGTAACTGGACCAGGACCAGGAATGGAGCTACCACCAGGATTGGGACTACTTCCAGGACAAGGGGAGGGGATCTATGGAGCTGGATCAATGCTGTCAGTTTCGGGGACTGGAGAAGTAAGACAGGAATCAGTGAAAACAGACATGCCTGCTCTTACCAAAATACAATGTGGGGATCCAGAGAGATCTACAGTCCGCAAGAGACGCTGGTCAGCTCCAGAGCGAGACCAGACTGAGAGGGCTGAGGAGGAGCCTCCTCTGACTCTGCCCAAACCCTCCTTCATCCCTCAGGAGGTTAAAATCAGCATAGAAGGCCACTCCAGTGCTGGGAGTGAAAGGTGCTTGAACAAAAGAGTAGACTGTTGATAGAACTTTAAGGAATTTTTGATTACCTGTGGTTGGCTTTGTGTTTTTCCCCCTCTGTTTTTCTCTATCCAGACTACTGTAATATAGGCTGAGTTTACACAGTATTTACACGTTTTCTTTTCTTTCACACAAGTCTGATATCTACGATGAAGTACAGCTGAGCACCTTCATAAGTGGTATCACACACGAGATCAGTGCAATCAATGCTGAAAGCAAAAATGAATGCAGCGTGAATGTTGAGTATGAATGACAGTCAGACACTCGAGCGTGTCACATATCATAAGCCCGATCTCCTTTGTCATGTGGCTTAAACCTGTTGGATGCAGACCAGTCAATCATTCCTCTTATCACATGAACAAGCACAGACCCCGATGTCAGCGTGTACAAAGTGGGTAACAATATTTTGACTCTCATCATGTTTGTTTCGTTGTTTATGAGTGGTTGGAGTCATAGAGAGACCTTTGGTGTTTCAATGACAATGCTCAATCGCCATGGATGTACTCTCTGCTGCCTCGTGTGTCTGATGAGGTTTTGAGTTTTATTTTATTACTTAAAGAAAAAAAAAAGTCATACCATTATGTGCGTGCTCCTGCAGGTGGCCTTGTGCCACTTGTCTCTATGTGTATGCCTGTGTGTGGTTTTCTTTGTGGCACAGGATTAAGGGGTGGCTGAGAGCTCAGTTGTCAGTACAACCTGCAAATATCAAGACTGAAAAAGGCCTGAATGTAAATCACTGAATTTGTCCTCAATACTGACTCATGAAGTCATCCATGTGATTGCCTCACCACTGACGGGCTGTGCTGAGAAATTGATCCCACTGCTTTTTGTGGGTGACAGCAGTTGCACGTGGATGCATTCCTCTGATGAAGTTCCTCTGTCAAACTTGCCATTATAGTTTATTTGCAAAGTGTCACAATTCTTTTCAAGGACAGCATGAGTCACTAGTTGATGTCCGGCTTCAACCCTGGCCACTACTCAATGTGCAGCATTTCAGATCTGTACCAATAGGAAAGAATCAGGCGTTTCTATCTAATACCTACAAATGACCTTTTGGGCATTTGTGTATGCACCTTTTAGATTTGATATGGCAAAGTTGTTAGCAAACAGTTGCGTAATTACACATCCAGAAGACACACAGCAACACTGACGTTTATTTTGGAGTTGTGTTTCAGGCGGTCTGTTGAATGTAAGTCCAGTTCATCCTACTTGTAGCTCTGTTTTTGTCTCTTGTCAACTCCTGAGGGAATCCTCTACCCTTTAGTTGCTAAATTATTCACCATGTTCATCAGGTAGTTGCTAACTTTGTCTGTTGGGCAGGTAGTTTATAATTGGTTCACTAGAGCTTTTCCACTGAAAACAACTGCCTGCCGCGCCTGAAATCAAACCCTGATGAGAGCGGTGAGAGAAAGTTACAGGCCATAAAACCAAAACAGTGAGCTGAAGGATGCTGAATAGCTTTGTAGGGCTGAAAAGAACTGCAGGGTTATAATTTACTCCCTTTCACATGACACATAGACCTCTGACCCACTGTTAATATAAAAATATGGAAAAATTAAATGCAACTTTAAATGCACGCACACCATAAGATAAAAAAAGGCATAATATGTACTTATCAATGGAAAACTAGTACCATCAAATTCCTTTGACTAATCCTGTTGCTTTCTTTAGAGAATGGCCTTACATATATGTACCTAGATCACAACAGCACATGTTTTTTAGGGTTTTATCAATAAAACCTGCTTTCCTCAATGATGGTATGCCAAGTCCATACCTATTATATCAGAGCACTGCTGTTTTGATTAAAACAGCTTTATTTCTCTACATGTAATTTCTTTCTTAGAGTAGAGCCAAAATATCCTACAGTTCGTACTCAGGAACCGTGTGTATCTGTATGTGTGTGTAAACAAACTGTGTGTGTGTGTGTGTGTGTGTGTAGGCCTGAGACAGTATGTGCATGTCCACAGTCACATGTGTATGCGTGCGTTCTGAGCAGCAGCACTTTGATGAAGCACCCAGCGGCAGTGTGGTGGTGGTGGTGGTGTCCCTGTTCCTCAGCTGTTAGATATAATGAGAATAATCAACCGACTGTTTTTCATTGCATAATGTCCTACAGGTTTATCATTGAGAGAAAACATTATATACCGGAGCAGGGAATGTAAACACATCGGGCAAACTATCTCAACTTTATTTTTGATGACAGATAGAGCTACTATAAAGAGAAAGAAAGAGAGTTGTAGAGTTAACTAACCAGCTAGTGTTGATCATGTACAGTAAATTGTATCCTAAAGAGTGTACAGTGTGTGTATAGATATTCTAACCCTTATGTAGCCTATGTACTGTATGTGCCACAGCGCCTCCTTCTTCAATCATTCCATTAACTCACCAATATCAAGTTTTCCTGCTATCATTTTTGTCAGTTCAGGTATTGATCTCATGTCCATGAATGTGCCACATTTCCTTGGGGACATCTGCATAATTTGGCCGCCTCACAATTTGAGTTGACTTGCACACTGTAACATACAGTATGTGTGAATATGAACTGCAATTTATCATAATAGCCATGAACCTTTTATAACTCCTGAAAGGTGTTTATTGTTAACCCAGACTGTTCTCTTCTGTTTGTGTTCGACTGCTCAGGCTAAACACTGCCCAGTGACTGTTCTCCAAAATGATGTGTTCTTATATTTTTCACTGTTACAAAGTAGAGGTACTGTTTCATCAGTTTGTCTTTGTAGCTCCGTGAGCCTGGCCTGTGTTTGTACTTTTTCTTTAAGAAATTATTATTTTTCGAATACAGACCTGAAGTGACATCATGACACAGTCAACATGTAGAAAGAGAAATTCTGGGAAATACATTGATTCGCTTTCTTGCAGAGAGAAAGGTGAAAAGATTAATGCTATTTTTATATTCTGTAGGGTAAATAAATATGAGGCTAAGCCAAGCTGACCGGCATCTGGCTGTAGTTTCATATTTACTGTAAAGATATAAGAGTGACATCTATCTTCTCGTCTAACCTTCTGCAAGAATGCGAATAAACGCATTTCCCAAAATGTTGAAGTATTCCTTTAAAGGCCCTGCACACCCACACAGTGGTTAATTAGACCTCAGCTCAGGTTCAAGCTGGGATGGCGCCCCAACAGGTGCAACGAGGAGTTATCAGTCAATTGTGGTCTGTACACACCCGAACAGTCCTGAGAAGAGACGGGCAAAATAAGTGCAAATGAAGGTGAACCGCTGGTGTGTCGGGGCTTTTAAATTCAAAGGTTTAGTAATACCCCTTTTGCTCACAAATATGCTTAAGCTGGACCCCTTAAAATATGTACTTTTCAGAGCTTTTCTAAATAATGTTGAATATGGTGTATAAGCGCCGCCTTGTGGTGATCTATAGAATTGCACTTTGTCATGTGTGGGGTGGGGGGTGTTTTAGTCTAACTAATACACAGAAGTAATGTACAGCATGTCTGAGAGAAATTGTACAGTAACAGTACAGCATCTCAGCGATTTGTAAATAGCCAAAGTCTTCCATTATAATGTTGGTATGACCTTGTTGCCAGTGGAGAGGATGGACACTGAACCCCATGTACAGACCTTTGAAGTGAAGTTTAATTTCCAAAACACATCATCATTTATTTGACAGAAATACAGGATATTGCTTCACCTAAGATATTTTATTTTGCACCAGCTCAAAAAAAAAGAAGAAGAAAACACAGGAAATTACAGGATTAAAAGACTTTTAAAAAAAGATTTTGTAATTCGGGTCTGTTTGTTGGATAAATCTCAGCTAAGATACAGTATGTCCTACGTACAGTATGTAGTATGTATCAATAATGTTCCCTTATTTTGATGGTGTTGAGGTTTGCTAGTCAGAAACTGTTAAATCTTTACTTCAAATGTTTGATTTTACATTTGAGCAAATATATTAAAAACAAATAAAGAGTCTAAAGAAAAAGTCTCTTTTTGTGAATGACAAAGAAAAGGGTATTTCTCTGTATGTGAATATGTGCTTTGTCAGCTGTGTGACGGTGATAAATGTTTCTACTTGAGACATGCCTGATAATATCTCCACCTCTGCTCTCCGGCTTTGATATTTCCCACAAGAAACTTTAATATTCTCCGTACCAGCTATGACAAGACTGGGACAGGGACTATTTGGACAGAATGATTGCACAATGTCTTGCTGCAGAGTTGCTGTTTTGCCTATTTGTAGTTTAGCTAGCTAAAATATACATTTGTATATAGTATACATAAATTGCTTCTTTTAGAGAGTCTTCATAGTGGTACCTTCTAAATGCATTTTGCCTTCACAGAGTCTTGCACCCTATTTTTAAATGTTATCTGTGTAATATTCTCTCCTTATTTCCTTTTACATCCCGATCACTGGTCTCTGCACAAAGTATCTCCAATGATTACATTTATAGAACGAGAAAAAGAACAAATTGAGGACAAATATGAATATCATCATCATAATACATAGAAATGAATCCTTTAAAAAAATGTGACAATTACAATCATCACCTCCCACTTTCTGTTGTTGGTTAACAGTTCAGTGTTCAGTAAGCATAAAAGAAAATACTGCCTATGAGCAGAATAATTTTTACATATTGTTGAAGTGTTTCAGTTGCACATAAAAGGGTCATGGCCTGAATGTGTTTATATGTGTTGTATGGCGGCCCATTGTGCCTCAGATTATGTTGAGAACCTGCACACAGGCCTTCAGTTGAAGGGAAGAATAGATGACGTGTAAATCACTTGCTTTTGTGTTTCAAAATAATATGTTTTTCCTAGTTGCACTGCTGGTGAACAATAATGCAATCTGCAGTTTAATAACTCATGCATGATAAATTGTGTTTGGATTCATGCACAGGAATATCAAAGACTAATCGAATATCTGCAACAATCATATCTACATGCACATGGATTCATGCACAGTTAGTTTGCTGTGTGCTGCACTATTTCGACCTCTGCTGACAGTCTATACACATTTGTAAACAAATTATTTACATACGAGTTGGAAATTTGAGTTGCCTCCTGGGATCTGATATGCTATAAAGATGTAACTGTATATCTGTATAGTATATGTGTATATTGTGTGTATGTACATTCTTGCTTTATTGTAGAAAAGAAGAATGTATGTGAAGCATTATACCATATGAGGCTCTAAGGAACATAGATGTATGGATTATTCTGTTTCACTCTTAGGATGGCTTCTGTGGATTATCTGTATGCTCTGTACTAGTCCGACAAACATTAGACAAACATGAGCATCAATATCTCCAAAAAGGCTGCTAAGTTGGAAATATGACAGGAGGTTTACCAGTGAACGTTTATATTTCAGAACAGAAAACACAAAATAATAAAATACATCTCCCATAACACCTTACAGACTATTTACTTAATGTTCAGTTGACCTGACCATCTTGTAACAGGAATACATCGAATCAAACCGACTTGTATTTTCTTGTTAAGGGCAGTTGAATCATGTTGTTACTAACCTGTAGCTGTATGCAGATACCAGTTATTAGTAATCAAATCAATAATATAGCTGATATGAAATTGGAGCTGATATATTAAAAAGGAAACTCTTAGTATCAACATTTAGAATAACCAGTGGTGGAAGGTAACTAAGTATATTTACTCAAGTACTGTACATAAGTACAATTTTGATATACTTGCACTTTACTTGAGTATTTCCATTTTATGCTACTTTATACTTTCTGCTTTATTTGATAACTTTAATTGGTACTTTGGACTTATTTTACCTTAGGTACTTTGGTACAGAGTGGTGACTACAGAAAGAGAGAGGCGGCTGCATCATAGCCAAAGTAACGCATTTACAAATATTTAACCAGCCATCGGATAAAACAATAATGATACCGATAGTCAAACAAATGCTGAATATGAAATCCAATAATCAGCCAGGCCAATAATCGGTCTATCCCTATTTGAAATTGTATCAATTTAAAGCTAAGAATACAAAGTACCTCAAGAAACTCATTGCTCAGCAAAATTTAAAAGATGTATCTCCATCACACCAGTTCTTATCTTTTTACTTGTCTTATATATGGATAGATCGCCAAAGTTTCTGTTCATCACCACAAGAGGTCCCTGTCCTCACACCCTCCGTCAGGTTTTACTGTCCTGCTCCTTCAGAAACAGTCACTCAGATTTATTTCTACATTGTACCACCTGAGGGAGCAAGAGTCCTTCCTCTGACATCAGTGTTGAACACTAATCTTATTAGACAGGACTGACTAGAAAACATGGTTATATCTATATTTGTCTGTTGTGAATAAAACATTTTCAAAGCATGGTAAAATAGAGGAAATTAAACCTAATAAAACATTTAGTTTTTTAAACAATGTACACTTTGGTGTGTGAAATTCTCTGATTTTGTAAAACTGAATGTAACCTGTACTGTGCAAAAGTGCTATGTGTTAGACCAATTAGAGTTAACAAAATGTAGGATTAGACAGAAAAGTTGAGTTTGTGGGTTGAAAGGTGAAATAATTAACCTTAATGGGTAAAGAACTCTGTAGCAGAGATGAAAATGTAATCATTACTACTTTAACATATTTTAATGTTTAATTATTTTATGTTTCTGTGCTATTTTTTGTAACAAATGCATTAATGATTTTGCTCTCTAACTTGTTAACTCTCTAACTTTAACATGTTGGACAGGACAAGTCCAGTTACCTAATACACAGAAAAGGAACAACACTTTATTGTGATAAAACTTCACACTTGATACAAAAACCAAATATGACACATTAAAAGTTAGTTTTAAACTCAGGTTGCTGTTGATGATCCTGACCGTTTTTTTTTTTTTTTTTGTGCTGCCTGTGCATGAAACGCTAATATAAGATAAACAAATGACAACATCAAACACACTGTTAAATGCCATACAGTTACGTGCAGTAATGTACAGTCTCAGACTGTCTACAACATGTTTTTGATAGAGACTGTTTATCTTTGCAGCTAGTTTTTGAAGTCTTATCAACTGCCAAGAAAATCCAAAATAACAGCAATACCCGCAAACCTTGAACTAGCAGGGCAGGGCTTCGGCTGTGGAGATATGGTTTCCTCAAAGATAAAATCCTAAAATCATTCTATCAAGACAATAATAAGTTAGTTATTTGTTATTTGTGAAAAACTCATGTGGTGGGGCTTTACTGTAAATCAGTCCAAACTATTACTTTTGTTGTTCAGCAATATCAATAACTAATATACCATTTATTAAATCATTTATATACATAAACAATGGAAACATTAAGCTCTAATAAAATAATGCCAGTGTAAACAAGCTTCAGTATCACGCAACGCTCAAATATTGCACATACATTCATAAATATACACATCAACTTTGTGCCTTTGTGTTTATGCATGTGGCTGCATCTGTGTGTGTGTGTGTGTGTGTGTGTGTGTGTGTGTGTGTGTGTGTGTGTATGTGGGTGGGTGGGTGGGTGTGTGATAAATCTGTGTACAGCTCAGTTTGAAGAAAACGAGGATAAATTAAATCAGGTGGGGAGTTTCCAAACTGAAAAAAAAGGATGAAAAGAGGGGTACCTAATAAACACACACATATGTACCCCCATACACACACACGCGCACACACACACACACACACACACACACACACACACACACACACACCCTCACACTCACAAAAGCACTTGTGCATAGATCTCAAGTCTCTGTGTCTCACTCTCACGGACACACAAAAATGTTCAGTTACAGAAACATTTAAAGCATTGTCTTCACAACAAAGTCCATTCTGTCTTCAGTTCTTCATCACAATGGATAAACAATGAACATGTGTGTGTGATTGAGCCTGTTAAGTGTGTTTTGGTCCCACTCTGTCTGGTTTGAACCTCGTTCTTTGGTCCCAGTCTGTGTGGCGCTGCAGTCTTCAGTCTGTGCTTTCAGTCAGTTTCATTACCAAAGAGGCAGAAGACCTCCAGCAAAGGAATGTATTGTTCAACTAATGCAGATCTCAGATCCGATTTAAGTTACTCAGAAGGTGCACATCCCTCCCAAACCACAGTCCTCCAATCAGGAGCTGTTGCGTATCGTCTTAGGCGTCCCCTGTTTGATCAGAAGTCAGCTGCTCCTGGTCAGAGACGTCGTCGTCAGCTGGTGGGCGTGCCCGGTCAAAGAAACCACACTGAGGAAATCACATGAACCCATTAGTGTTATATTGGATAATTAAACAATAACAAGGTAAGCTGAGGTTGGTGGGTGCTGTGTTAATGTGTGTGTGTGTGTGTGTGTGTGTGTACCTTCCACATGGCTAATGTTAGCATGGCCAGCACCAGCAGCCCCAGCAATATGGCCAGGATGATGACCCAGAGTGGAACAGCAAACGACACATCAGGAGTCCCCCACAACACCAGGGTCCCCATCTGCAGGACACAGATAGAAACAGTTAGGTGCTGATTCGTGTCCTTTTTCTCCTCAAGCGCCTGACACACTTACAGCCTACATCTTACCGAGGTGGTGTGTTGAGGCAGGTTGGAGGGTTGGATGCGGTAAGGCATGGTCATGACCATAAAGGACACAGTAGAATTGAGAATGTAGGGGTCGTTACGCCGCTGTAAGACAAATATACCATTATTATTTAAAAGGTACCATTTGACCCATAAAATATTTGAAATATTATGTTGCTTTGTAAGTTAGCACATCTAGTAAAGCCTTGTTTGATCTTTGAACAACTTTAATGACAACAGGGGAAACAGCATCTGCTGATGTAGATCATGTGTTATGATTAAAAGCTCCAGAACTGCTACTAAATGGAACTTATTGTGAAAATATTTTCAGAACTGCTGTTTCGATGGTCAGGAATTACCATTAAACCTTAGTTTAGTTTAGTTGCACAATGAACAAGAAGAAACATGGAAAAACCCTAAAAAAAAGAGATGAATGTATGCAGGAAATAAAGCAGCAAACAAATAATCAACAAAACATTTCAAGATGTCAACAACACTGACCTGCAGGAAAGTATGTGCCCAGAGTCTCGAGCGGATCTTGACTACTGCGCTCTGTCCACGATCCAAGCGGCCAACCACACACATGATCCTTAGACAGGAAATATTGGTGCAGTTCTGTAGAGAAACAAGAGGAGAAACAGAACAGAGGTAGCACAGAGAGATTACACATCTGTGAATCACTAATGCACATTTGGTTTAGTTTCTTTACAGAATGGATATGTACGTTGTTGAGGCTCACCAAGGTTTTACCGCTATAACTCTGAGCGGCACTGACGGAGCGTTTGTGGCGCTGATGAGGAGCACTGGTGTTCCTCAAGAAACCCAATAACTCAGGTGTGTCCTGGAGAGAGGAAATCTGAGACGGACAAGGAGAAACAGTTGTCAACATTTTGACTATTTCACTTTTTTAATTCAGCATCCCAACTGGAAATGAAAAGATGATCAAATTAAGAATTTGACCCATAAAGTAGACATTTTGATTAGAATTGTCTCATGTATTTCAGACAGTCAAACTTATATATTCCCAATAAAGTCAGAGTTGACCTATAACATGTCAGACTACAGATTTGAACTTTTTTTTGTCAAATGGAGATGCTGAAGTATAAAACAACAGAAAATGCTAAGTTGCTCCACTGCTCACTATTTTTTAATTTTTTTTATCTTTAAACATTCCCTCTACAGCATGTGTTTGGGTCTTTTGAGGACAGTTAAAACATACTGATTATCACATATTGGTTTAGTGCAGTGTGTAGTGCACATGGGCTCTGATGCAACCCAGACAGCCAATGAGAAGGAGATGGTGGACCTCAAGCCAGACCTGAAGAACGCTTATAAAGTAAGATTTTAAGAGACGTAATAAAATAAGACAAAATCCCCAATTGTGGAAACGAGTGTGACATTTAGCAATCTTATTAAAAAGTGTTTTGTTGAGAGACGGATTTGAAGAGATTTATTTTCCTGATTGCAGCTCATACAGTCAGCAATAAAAAAGTGTCTGTTGGTCCAGTGTGTGTCAGTCTAGTCTACACACTAAAGGACTGACAGACACTGGGAAACTGGAAATGACCAAATCAGAAAGAAAATGGGAGAATAAAAAAATCTGACCTTCGACTCATTTTGTTTTTATATATGATTACATCTTGTAGCATTTCACTTTCTGACATAATTATGTACTTTTTGAAATAACTGCATGTTTTCTTTTTGAATTACTCTACACATGATATCATACACACTGGAAACTTTTCCAGCTCTAATTTCTACTAATAAGCATAATTCTCCATCCACCTCATTTTGAGCCAACTGGCAGAGAACATGGAAAGCAGCCAGGACAACGAGTACAATTATATTTTAAATAAGTGGGTATAAATGATGGATGGATGGATGAATAAGCCGCTAGCAATATAATAAACAAAAGTCTGAAATTGCGGTAGGTGCTTTGGTTTGATGCTATGCAAGAAAAAGTTAATTGGTTAGGAATATTATGAAGTATATTAATTTCCACTACAGGCAATATGTCCATAAATTATATATTTCGGTCTTGAAATTAGTTTTTAATATTCGTTTGCATGCATGAGTATGTATATTTTCATATATTGTCGTGTTACCTGAAGACCAAGTGGATTGAGGCTGGTGTTTGTCCTGCAGCTAATTGGTCCGTCAGTTTGAATCTCCATGGCATACAGCAGGTTCTCGTCACGGAAACGGGAGGGCCAGCCGACCTGGAGCTCAGCCTCCAGAATACTGCTGGGACCAGTGTTATGGAGCTTGAGACAGAAGGAAAGAGGGGGAAAAAAACCCCAGTTGTCAGTATTGTGCTGTCTTCTGTCTTATTAGTAGGTCTAAAACGACTGAGGCTATAATTAGGTTATCATAACTGTGGGATGATGACACAGGCCACCTGTGTTTTAGTGAAGATAATACTATTGCAGCCTTCAGTCACTGGGGATTGAAATACAAGACAAGTAAAACCTGCAGCATCACCTGGCTCAGCATTCCACGTCAAAATTAGGATAAATGAATTATGAGCTTAAATGAACCATCAATTCAATAAACCCTAATTTTTTTTTTTACCCCAACCTGTATTCTCTCTCTCTCTCTTTCTCTCTCTCTTACACACACACACACACACACACACACACACACACACACACACACACACACACACACACACACACACGGTCATTAACACTGAAGCAAGTCATCCAAACAGGACATGATCCTGGTGCTGCAGGGCAGGAATTCTGCAAGAGCAAAAACTCTGTCCTCTCTAACTAGAAGCAGCTGCCAACTGGGAAAAGTACCGCAAATGAAAATCATTATCAGCTGCAGGACAGGCCAGACACTGCTGCACTCTGGTTCAATGAAGCAGCCGTCCCTTTAAAACAAAAAGAAATCCCTGTGCGGTGCGTGGACGCACACATGCACATACCCTTATTGTAAACTGTCGCCAGTCTGTCTACCATCATCCCTCCATCTATCTATTTGTCTATACTTCTGTTTGACCTTGTTTTTCCTCTCAGTGATTATTGCTCATTACACTGTCCGGTCTTAAGAACAATCCTTCCTCCCTGCCTTCCTTCCTCCTCTCTCCTTGCCTTGCTCCCCATTCCCATCTCTGCTTCACCCCCTTTCTCTCTTTTTCCCGCCTTTACAGGAGTAATTACTCTTGAGCTGGAGACCTTTGATCAGTCAGAGCCCAATTCTTTATAGAGCTACTGTTTTTACTGTGTGTGTGTTACTGTTTACTTCACCCTACAGATCCCCCCTCTTGCTGTAGCCTAATTTACAACTTCCCAAACCTATTTTTCTGGTCTTTTCATCTTAACAGTCCATGCAGAGACATGCTTTGTGACCAGCAACAACAAAAAGCAAGACAACCCAACCTTACACTTCATCTTGTCAGTACACCTTTACCTCCCTCTTCACATGGGATTTAGCTGTCTGGCTGCGTTTTGATGTGTATTTACCTCGTAGATGTGGGTTACTTGTGGTCCCACATCGTCCTCTTTGACAGGCTTCTCTTTGGGTTCCCAGCGTGGGAATGGCAGCACCACCTGAGAGGGATGAGAAACCCTGAGGATAGGAGAAACAGCTCAGTGACACTGATGCATGTACAGGTTTGGAGGTCAATATAAATACAATACTCACTGATCATATGAGTGTTGACTTTTGGTCACTGTGATCATTCACTTAAGTGTTTTTTCCTAGCTGAGGTTTACCAGAGGTTTACTATTTGGTTGTACCATGTAAGCCTTGTGTAATAAGCTTAGACCTGACCAGCAGGTTGTTTCCCTCCGTGGCATGGCAATGCAATTTTCTTTCTAAAAGTACAATAACTTAGGAACAGGTCTATTTGATTTGGGTAACTGCAGCTTCATATTAGCTTCATTTGAACTTTGGAATACATTTTTGCATGAGGCAAATAGGGACTGTGGATTTGCACTAGGATGGGAATGTGTCACATCAAGTACAAAGGGAGGAGGAATCACAGCAGAGACCAATAACTATTTTAACGTACAGTACCTATGGACAGTGAGTATAAAAATCTGAACCTGTCCTTTAACAGCCAGGTTAAAGGTCTAGGTCTGGAATTTCATTGCAAGATATACAGAGAGACCACTTTATTAGGTACACATGTACAATCTATTGCAATTCAATACAGCAGCTCTGCCATAGATTCTACCTTTACAAAGTTTACAATGTTCAGATTTTGTTGTAAATTCACTTATATGTTTATTATTGAGGTCATAGTTAAAGGTGATGTTACTACAAGACTACAATATATTGAGAGGTGTTTTCTTATTTGTATATATGAAGCGGGCAGAATATTAGAAACACCTTTGAATATAATGCAGTCCAGCACACCACCACTATGACCTTAATACTGAAACATAAAATTGAATTAATACCTCTTGAAAATGCTAAATTTAAAAACTAGATGGACACAGCTGAGGCGGGACAGTTTCACAGTACAAACGCAGGAACTTGTATGTCTTTGTCTCTGTCATCCCAACTCCTCCTCTGTTTGTATGTACAACTGACCACACCCAAACAACGCCATGCAAGCATCCAAGCTTTGAAGTGTGTATGTTTGTGTGTGTATCAGTGGGCATATGAGCATCCATGAACACGTAAAAGGCTCGCAAGTCTCCCATGTGCTCATGATTAGTTCAAATTTATTTCCAGATCTGTGTTTTCATGCTGTTTTCCATCTGTATATAAACAGGCTCCACAAATTTAAACATCTCGAAAGGGGCCGTAATATCCTGAAAACACCAACAAGTTTGGGCTGAAACCAGATCAATTGCATCTTTGTGAAGCAGACACGGCAATAAAGAATTTTGTCACTGTTTTTCAGAAAGGACGCCGTGCTCTCACATGCAAAGATGCTTGACTCACCCGCGTAGATCAAGTTGAGCTTTGGCAGCGATGGACAGATTCAAACTGACTGGGTTGCTTTCAGAGTTGTCTTTGTTGGAGCTGCAGAGACATTCACAGAGAGTTTAAATACAAACTAAAGGCATAAAATAAAACACACATTGACTATGCTCTACATTCTGTATATATTTGCAAACTTTTGACATGAGGCTGTAGTACAATATGAGTGAATGCAAAGGCTCTGGAAAGCTCATAATAAAGCTGCATTTGTATGTTCAGCAGCCTCAAAGAAGAAGTTCTCTGGCAGCATTTAACCGTCTGTGTCTAGTGATGTGTTGTATCAAAAGCAATACAGTGAATCAAACAGTGAACATGTTGTGTATGGCTTGTCTGCTCTCTGGTGTTCCTCTGGGCCATCTGTCTTCTTCTGTCTCTGCGGTTAGTTTCATCAAACCACAGACAGCGGGATCAGGACAGACACAGAACTTATTTACATGGCTCAGAAGAAAGAGAAACAGCTCTTTGTGTGCATGTATGTATGTGTGTGTGTGTATGTGTGTGTGTGTGTGTGTGTGTGTGTGTTGGGGGTATGCGTGAGAGTTGGTGGGTGTGTCACCTGTGGATCTGTAGCTCAAAGCTGATCTTTGGTCCAGCATCATCCAGCCTTTGGACAGAAAACCTCAATCCAATAGACAGCTGGGAAAGAGTGAGGAGAAAAAAAAAAAAAGAGGGAGGAGAGAATGTGTAAAAACGTGACACAAGAAAGAGGAGGACACTTAAAGAGAGAGGAAAGAAAGCCAGAAATGAGATGCATCTGTACATCAAAGGCAACATCATGTTTAAAGTGTCCAGTAATAGACAGTAAAATCCCTGTTAACTACATCCTCTTCTGTTGTTACACTGGCAGAAGAGCTGGTCTGTGTGTGTTTGCGTGTGTGTTGACAACAGTAGAAATCTGAAATCGGAGAAAATCCAGACTACAAGCACACACTTAAACGTTACAGTTAAGGTTCTTGTCTCTCCCCAGTTTAAATCCCCTGTCCTCTATGCTAACTCAAAACACATGGAGGATTTAGTTCATCATCAACCGTATGACGTGTGTGTGTGTGTGTGTGTGTGTGTGTGTGTGTGTGTGTGTGTGTGTGTGTGTGTGTGTGTGTGTGTGTGTGACGTTCTTGTCAGTGTGTATGTGTAACTTTACTGAACAACAGGTCAGACACATGGTCCAGAGAGGGAAATGACAGCATGCAGACTAACACTTGAGGCAGGCCTGTGGGGGGTGAGGGTGGGGTGCAGGACTACAAAGTCAGACCATCTTTATGGCACACATTAGAGAGAGACCGGAGGATAAGAGCCAGGCAGAAAAGATCTAAAGAGACAGACACCAAATGAGTACGAGTCATTCGGAGAGAAGACGTCACTATCAGCTATGATACTCTCTGTCATAGACGGAGGAGGAGAACAGCCCAACAAAAGTCTGGAGAGGTCAACTGTGTTTCTTAAAATCGGTCTTTTCTGTCACCGCCCCGGCTTGAAAGGTGGCTGTTAAAGGTTTGTGTTTTTGTCCTTAAGAGGGACCAGCAGCTGTGGTTCAGCTTGTAATTTATGTTGGTTGCAATGGATTGTACATTTTCACGGTGGAGAAAAATCATCAAAACATTGACAGAGACTTTCGCAAAGCACTTTTGCAATGTGGTCTGATTCCCCGCTGTCCATCTGTATGCTCAGTGAATTCTAAATAATTATCATGTTGCCACAATATGGCTACATACAGTGCTTCTGTGTTAGGTTACTGCCCTCCTTGAAGCTACAAAGCTTTGCCACAAGAAGTGTATTCAGCCACATTTTGGCAAAACAGTGATTCTTTGGAACAATGCAGAGAGAAGTGGTTTACGCTGACGCTTTGAGATGTTTCTGAAGGAATTATAGCACTTTTTGCCAGCCATACAATGTTGTCACTGTTGGTATCCATTGGAACAAATAAGAATTCAACTGACCACTGAGGCAGTGCAATAAGATAGATTAGAGATTTTAACAGCCACCTAAAGCAACGTTAAAGCCCACTGAGGTTGCTTGATACTCAAAACATGTTATATGCAGGACACTTTAATGTAGGGCTGTGTGGCTCAAATTAATGTCACAATATCTTAATGTGACACATTAAAAACGTTTGTCAAATGCAATGAACCATGTTGCACAATTTATTTAAATGTGTTATTTAATTAAAATTGGTCATTTTGACTTGACAAAAATGATCAAAACGTGTCCATTAAAATATATTTGTGGTTTGAAAACAGTGCACAGGCTTCACTCTTTCCATCACTGCTGATTTACAATAGCCCTGATTATTTCAATTATTGGTCAGCACTACCTTAATGTTATCTTTCATTATTGATAGAAAGAAAAGCTGAAGGGATGCAGGCAGGCACACATGCACGACTACAACTAAAACCAGCTTCCCTTTAGGCATGTACCTCCTGCACTGATCACCCTGCTCAGTAAGGGACTACAGCTGTGTTATGTGGCACAAGGAATGAACTCCAGTGATGAGAACTATTTAGTTGCACAATATAATGAGAGTCTATATGGGGTATACGGAGGTATGTTCCATATAAGCCTATGGATTCCTGAACATCCAATGGGGCAGGGGGAGAGTTAAATATGGGAAACATCTGGCTGGCTGGGGAGCACACACACACACACACACACACACACACACACACACACACACAACGCCTTGTCCCTATCACATGCCTTGTTTCGCTCACCTCCCCCAACAGTGAAACATGACCACATAATTGATTTATCAGTACAGCGTGTGTCACCTCCAGAGCTCAAATGCACCTCTGAGCTGGCCTTGACACCTTTAGAAAAACCCTACATTCAAAGTAATACACACACTTGATCACACTGAAGCACATGTGACATGCTTTGTGGTGCGCATACGTACACCGGCGTGGTAGAATTTCATGTAGGAAGGCACCACTCTTTACTTTACAAAGCCTTGGCTTCCTGCATGTGTCAACCATCCAAGAGCGAAATGGATTATTATTACACACTGCACACACGTTCATGCACACACTCACACACGGAGTGTGAAGCATAGTTAAGGGAGTCAAAGTGTGTGGAATGAGGGTCAAGGTGATGATCAGTAATCACTGGAAACCATCAATCAGTTTGAATTAAACCCGAGTAACAGCTGTAGCTTCTTAGCATGGACTTAGAATTAGAAGGGATGTTTTAGTGAAATGTGTGTCTGTGTGTTTGTGCTTTTTTGTGTAACGACTCACCTCTGTCCCAGCCACCATTGGGTTCCCGAGGTCACACACCACCATTCTGGACTCATTGACCATCTTGTACTCGCAGTTTGGCTGCGACAGGGACTAAAGAGGAGGGGACAGGACAGAAGAAAGAAAAGGAGAGTACAGTTGATGAGATGATGAGGCAAAGGTGGATGAAAGTGACAAATAGGGAGCATTGACAGTCAAGAGGGGAAAAGAAAAGAAGAATGGAGTATAACACAATCAAAGGGAGAAGGGAGTGAGGGAGTGAGAAAGAGAAGGATAGGAGGGGAGGGGGAAGGCAGGGGAAGCGGAGTGATGAATGCTCTGACAGTAACAACCTCATCAATCAAACAGTCCCATTACACACTCATTAGCGCACACACACACACACACACACACACACACACACACACACACAACACACACACACACACACACACACACACACACACACACACACACACACACACACACACACCAGTTGACCCTATCCATTTCCGTGGTCACTAATGCAGCTTGTAAATCATAATAGGGGCTTTTGGGCTGTTGCCAGTAAAGCATAGCCTGCTGATAGCCTCGCCTTAATCATTCCAAACAAACACACACCACAAAGACACAACAGGATGTGATGTCGTACTGTGACTGCAGCCTCAAATAGCTCACTTCCTCTTTGATGATGATGATGATGATGATGATGATGATGATGATGATCACTTGGCACATTCTTCAGTTGTGATAAGACAACTGCCTCAATCTTAAACGTCTATTTTCAGTATCCATCCACTGATTTCAGACAAATGTGTCTGTAAGTGTGTGTTTATTTACCTCCACCCTGCGCTTCACTCCAATATAGTCAGCCTCTGGTGGTATCAGTGTGTAAAGCTCTGCCTCATAAGCTCCCTCTCCTCGGTTCACTGCAGTGATGGTCAACATGACCAGATTGTCATCTCCAATCACCAGCTCTGAGCGATCCCTGTATGTGTATGTTTAAAAAAGAGAACAGAGAAAAGATATAATTTCAGTCATGTGGAGGACACCAGAAATTAAGCTATTTTCTGGAATAACATAAAAGAATCTCCTGTCCTGTGTTTTTTGTAAAATTCAGTTCATAATTTCTAAGATTGGACTTTCTTAGTTCATGTGCAATCTACTCTGCAGCAAGGAATGCAATACCCCCAACCCCAACAATAACCCCAACAATGTGTGTGTCTGTGTGTGTGTCAGTCAGTAGAGGTTGACAGGATGTTTGTATAACGCTGCCATGGAGATATCGTACAGCTGGAAACACTATAGAGTGTAGGTTAATTCACATACACACCACATGGTAAATGGAACTATAATGTGAGCAACTATAGTGTAAACTTTGCTCATTGTGTGAGGAATAACAGACATGCTTTCCTTTGGTTCCGCTGTGTGTGCATGTGTGTCTGTGTTTGGCCGTGTGAAGTGTTGAGTGTTTACAGGTTGAGGTCAGAGGGCGTGGCCATGTCAGTCTTACATGCTGGCAGAGAGCTGGAGGTCGGGTATACAAATATTGTCGTCACCGCAGTCCAGGAGAATGTAGGCCTGAGAGGAAGAGGGGCACAGAGAAGGGGACTGACATGAGGAAACTGCAAGGTACACTGGACATCATCATGAAACCAAAAATAGAAATAAACTTAACACACCAGGATGCAGGTGCTGGATACATATACACACATAGCATACAGTTCTGGTATCCAGGTCTTGGGCAACTGAATGAGTTTTGGGTTGAGTTTGGGTTTTATTGCGCCCAGCTTGGGGCTGAGTGTGGGTTTGATTATTTTAAAATGTAGGTTTGTAATAAAATGTTTTATTTTTCTCTCTGTCTCTGTGCTTTTTCTAATAGTCTGCATCTGTGGGTGTCATGTGTTCCAATTAAAACTTGCAATGTCCAGCATTAAAAGAAAGCACAGCCTGGCAAATATAGCAAATGTATCACTTTTAACCCTGAACCCTTTAACCATTTCTGAGTAAGGCAAGCATTTTCACCAAATAAATAACATCAGGTTGGATTTGGGTCTCAAATTTGGCTTAGCCTAGTTGAGTCAAGTCTGTTTTATCTATATATCCCAATATCAAAATTTGCCTCAAGGGGCTTTGGAAACTGTCCAGCATATGACACCCTCTGTCCTTAGACCGTTGATTTTGATAAGCAAAAACTCCCTCCAAAAAAAACCCTTAACAGGGAAAAAATGCGTAGCATCCTCAGGAACACAACAGAAGAGGAATTATTCTTCCAGGTCAGACGAACATGCAATAGATGTACAATATTATGGTTATATGTATATACAGTATATACTCACATGCTCTTGAAGGAAAGTGCTGCTGTAATGGTTGAGGACAGGTGGGAGGTTTTGGCCATGAGAGGGTGGAGCCAAGCTGTAGTTCAGAGCCAGTGAGATAGGGGTCAATTTGTCCCTGAACTCATCCTCCTCCTGAGGGAGTAACAGAAACAGGTGAGAAATGTGTAGATAGTCGCCTTTGGATGGTCTTAATAGTAAACTGAACGGGTGGATTGCAACATTATGCAAATCATTGTGTTTGGAAATGAGTGTAATTTGCTCACTTTCAGGTAAATGGTATAGCTTAGGCATGAACGTGGGCGATTGCGACCCAATGATAGGAGCCCTGTGCGCTGAGACAGCTGGGTATCCAGGAAAGAAACTCTCTTAACTCCACCTCTGGTGCCTTTCAACCAATCCAACTGTAGCTCTGCTTTCAGGTCTGGAAAGAAGGTGAAGATGCGAAGGAAGATGGAAAAGTGAGAGAAAAAGTGACAATGAGAGTGAATTAGGCCATCAGACACTCCTTAAGTGTTGAATCCACATGGTCCAAACCCTTTATATGTGTGACTTTACATTAGTTATGAAGTAAGCAGCCATTTGTAGGCGTTTTACTCTACAGAGCATCATTAGACAGTGGAAACAATGTACTTTACACCTCCACTGTCTGTGTCTGTCTACCCGATTCTTGTTTCCACCCTCCCTCCTGCGTTAATTAGAGCAGCAGTTTCAAAGCAGGAAACTCTGATGAGATGTACAAAGGAGCTGGCTCTGACTACTGTCCCTCCCACTGTGCTTTTCCCTTTTGCCTCCTTCTCTCATTCCACCACATTGTGCACAGCTGCTTACCTACAGAGCTGGGGATCCCCACTCCGCTGACTGCTGCACACACTTCTACCTTCAGACTGCAGGAAGATAAAGAGGCAGAAGTTTAGGATAACTTTTAGCATCCTGTACAAGATCAACACACCCACACACATACTAAAAAGAGGACAAAATGCATGGATGCCTAAAATATGTAGTGATACCACAAGGTTATTTTTCAATGATGAATCTTTAGATTAATCACACAGGATATCACACCAACAATAATAAGTCATGCAAGTTTCAGTATGGTTGCTAATAAGTTTTTTATGGCTTTCAATGGCTTGGTAAACCCTGAAATGCTAATGCCTAATTAGGATGTTTTATAGTTATAGTATGTTTGTCTCAAAAGTTTGGAAAAGAAGGCAAGAATTTAAATTGTCTTTATTGTGATTTGTCTTGTAGGTTACAATTACATTGTGCTGTTTTTTGATTTATGAATCCTGTTGTAGACATGGAGATCTGAAAATATGATTGTTAGGTTGTGTAAATTGGTATTAGTTATTTTTAGGGTTTTTGTAGCATGATTTAAAAAAGTAGTCAGGGAATTCTGGATTTGATTTATATTAATTTGTGGTGTCTTGTAAGCCTGGCGAACATAGCGAACTCCATGGAAGGCAACCTGCAGAGTCTGTAATATAAATGGCTCATTCATCAGGTAACAAAAACATAACGATTCCTATATTCAGGTGAATATACACTAATGAAAACATAGTGTTATATTATACTATATTCAGTTTCTGCCAATAGATCTTCCTAAGTGTTAACCACTGGGCCCTAAAGCCTTCATAGTCAATTAATGATCAAACTGGGATCACTATATATTACAATCCATAAAAATGTCCAACCCTTTCTTCCCTTGTTGTTCCAGCCTCCAAAAAATGTGATCAAAGTATTACATTCCTCCTTTTGCTGGGGACCCCCTACAACCCACTCAAGGACTCCTGTTGGTCCCTGGACCCTGGTTTGAAAACCACAGATATAACTATCTAAATAAATTGCCCATAAGCAAGGCATTTATTCCTTCCTGTACTGCAGGGGGCAGTGGGAAGTCCCACTGAGGGCCCTGTGAGCCCCTCAATTAGACACACAGACATGGGAGACTGGGAAAAATTTCTGCATTTCCTCTATTTATGTGTGTATGTGTATGTGTAAGTAAGTGTGTATGTGTGTGTGTGTGTGTGTGTGTTATCACCTCTTTAATCAAGAACAGGAAAGTGACTCCCACACAGGGAGCACTGAACTGTTAATATTCACTAATCTGAGGAAGCTTACAGACGTAACGCTCCTGATTCTGCACTCAGCAGACTCAGCAGTATGAGGCATGAGGTAAATGACTTCATGTGATTATTGTTTGTTTGGTTTCAGTTCACAAACCCTAACATTCGAAACGCAGCTGTTGTGGATGCCTGGGTGTTTGTTAATAATTAGGATCCCCATTAGATGACACAATCGTGATGAGCTAGTTTTCCTGCACTGTAAATGTATGCAATGCAGATGTGAGTTTATGTGAAATAAAATACAGGTTTCTATTTTAAAAATTGCTCCCCTAAGTCATTTTGACCTCTCCAGGTGGTTTCATGCATGTTTAATATGTGTTGCATGTAGGCGTGTGTGTGTTTGGTGTTTTTGGGTGGGTGTGCTCAAGTGTGACTCTAATAAGCACTGTGTGTCAAACTTAAGTGTATGTAGCACGGAAATGACCCCCATTTTACTGACAACAGCTCTGGCCCCTTGGTTAGTCATTACTGTATGTAATTTTCCCCAAAATGCATCTGTGCTCCACCAGCCTACAAACTGCTAGCCGGCCCTCCCTGCACACATAAATCCCCCAACAACCCCGGGTTTGCTTAATGAGTAGGAATGTTCAATTTAAGGCTGGTCATCAAGTAGCTAACTCCTTTTCCACCACTCCTTCATCCTTTTATCCAGCCCCTTTTACTACCGCGCATGTCTCACCACACCAGAGTCAGAGAGCCAAGCATCTGATTTCAAGAAAAATCCTTTCCTGGTGATCTTTTAGGTCACTTAAACCTGCTACAACTGGGGGTAGCAGAAACAAGCTAAGTTGATATGGTGAACTTGTTAGCAAACATTTGCCTATTTACACATCCAAGAGAGCAACGCTAGCATTCATGTGAAGTCATCTTTCTGTCCAGTTCTATTTTTGGTCTCCACCCACTCCTGAGAAAAACATCCTGCTCTTCTGCTGATAAATTCATATCTTTTCATCCAGTTCTCAAAAACTGGATGAAAAGATATTCTGTCTGCTACACAAGATGTGACTGTATTCCCTAATTCATGTAGCCGGAATTGACTAATGTACTTTTTTGTAAAACACAAACAAACATGCTAGTTTGAATGAGAATATAAAATATTGCAAAGAAACATAAATATATACTACACAATAATAGATAATAATAAGAAAATGTTTGATCTTGTTTCACACTATATAAACTGACCAAGGAGAAATGCTATTTCTGGCTACCATCTTTCGATTAGGCAAAAGAACTGCAAATGCCCCAAAAATACTTAAAATAAAAAGCATACAGCAGACAAATTTAATTATTTTTAAGAAAAGTCTTCTGGATTTTGGAAATATTGTCAGAACAGTGGTCAGTATTGTTAACTGACCTTCTGGGATTTATTATTTAACCAAAAATCAGATGCTTAACCCTGTGACTCAGATGTACTAATACATGAGAGGCTGCGGCTACCTCCCATCAAGTGTCTCTCCAGCTTTTACCACAGGGAAACGACTGAAATGTCCAAAAATCTTCACCACTTTGAAACACAAGAGTCACAGACGTCCTTTAATTCTACGAGCTGCTGTTTGACTCTCTGCATGTGTGTCCTATGTCCTATCTGATTCCATACCTTTGACCAAAACTTTAGGGCGGTTTATTTAAATAAGCAGAGTTTTGTTTTGACAGAATTCCACAGTTTAGTGCTCTCTGTCAATCTGACCCAAACCCTGTTCTCTTTTCACTCACTGCCAACACTCACACACCACTACGCACACACAGACACCATGATGGCAACTCGCCGAGCACACTTCTCCCATCCAAATAGTCCAGCGGTTCCAGCCCCAATAAGTTAAGACCAACAATAGGCTGTGGCGAAGCAGCAGGAGCCTTCAGACCCCCTCTCCTTTAGTTCCCCTTGACTAAACTCACCCCAAGACTGTTCAAAGCCAGCCTGCTACCCACAGGAACAATAACATAATCAAAATAGAATTATGCAGTATCAAATTAATTGCAGAGACCCATAAATCTGACTTTCCAGGTTATACGAGTATGCTTTTTCAGTGTGTTCTAAATTATCGCATTAGACACACAGACAAACAGACGTTGGCTGATGGCAGACGTCTAGAGCACAGGGGTGAAATATTTGTCACATCTGTCAGTGTTTGTGTGATTTGTGAATGTGTATACTTTATACTGCGTACCATATCATGATACAGTATAAGCAGTAAGGTTTCTGGTATAGCACTGGGGGTTCAGTGCAGCAGTGGGCCTCATTAGTCTCATGTTTATTTAAGACTTTGATCCCTTTAGCTTTAATTCACCTACACACACACACACACACACACACACACACACACACACACACACACACACAAACACACACACGCACACGCACACACAAGGGCTGTGTCCAAGTTATGAATTATACTATGAATTATAAGTATCTCAACGTTTTCACTTCTCACTTTTAAGCAGACTTTGAGCGTGGTGTTGATGGACGCTACTGTCCCGGGGCCAAACGGAAGTGGAGGAGCTACGCACGACACAGCTGGCAAAAATTATAACAAATAGTGGACTGTGGTGAAGAGCTACAAGAACATTTTACAAACCAAAAAAATTTATTATAAATATTTTGGGAAAACATTTTGCTGGTTTAATTGTTTCACATTAAGTTTTTTTTGTTAGCATATTTAAATCTTTTTATTTTACTTTATTTAACACTGAAAAAATGAAAAACATTTAGTTTTAACCGGCCGATGCAACTGTCACACACTACGAAATTGCATAGACATTTCCAGTTAAAATGCGTGATTAGGTTTCCGAAACAATTTTGTGCTATTTTCTAGACCCTTTAAAATTGACTTAAATTCACCAACAGTCAAAAAGGGGCTTGAAAGGTTTGTTTCAAACAGAGGATGAACTGAGGGGATGCTTGAAGAGCCAGAATAAGATAAATAAGGATGTGTGTTGAGGATGTGAGTGAGTGAGTCAGTTCAGTTCAGTACGGAGACTATCTAGCTCTTCTTACCAGGTAACCATAATATCTGTGTCAGGCAGGTGACACTGTCGGTCATCAGGGTTCAGGATTCTGGGAGTCAAGATCATTGCAGCTTCCACAGACACTACAGCTCGAGACCTACACACACACACACACACACACACACACACACACACACACACACACACACACACACACACAAAGGCATATACATAGCACATAAAGCATAATATATAAAGAAAGGTAAAAAAGGTGAGGAATGACAAAAAGCATTTCAAAACTAGACAGCACGTCTTGTACATTCTCACCTGTATACTGACACCTCGCCAGCGCCGAACGCCCCCACAATCAGATCTGCAGAGAGAGAGAGAGAGAGAGAGAGAGAGAGAGAGAGAGAGAGAGAGAGAGAGAGAGAGAGACGGGAAATAGAGAGCTTCAAAGAATGCCACAGATGGGACTGATTTCAAGGTCTCCAGCAATCTTCATCAAACACAGACTTCTCACGTTTAACACACATACACACACACACACACACACACACACACACACACACACACACACAACACACACACCTACACACACACTTAAACACACTGTGACACTCTGTTGACTTTCTGATATCACCATGCTTTTTATTTCTTATCCTTTCACACATGACCCGGTTCAGACTAAATTTATAAACAGAATGTGTGTATTTGTGAGTTCATCAGCATGTATGTGTGCGTCCATATATATGTGTGTGTGTGTGTGTGTGTGCTGCGAGACAGGGACCCCACGCTGCATTCCAGTGCCATTAGAAAGTTCACATCGCTTAAATCACATTTCGCTAAACATTTTCCAACAGCCTGCATAGCAACAGCTCCTAATTGTAAGCAGCAACATATCTCATCTATATGTGATTTTTATTTGTTTTCATGGGTTTTGTGATGAACACACACTTTTAATTGGCTCTCAGAGTTTAAAATAGAGCCGGTATTTAATGGCTGCGGTTAGGGGACACATACCAATGAATACCGCACACACACACAGATGCAGACACACACACAAGTTCTGATTAAAACAATGTGGGACACACTTAATGGATACAAGCCACCACTGCCAGATACAGAAAAACTAAAGTTGTGTGATCCTGAGAAAGACAGAATAACCTCATGCTGCTAAGTGAGAGACAACTGGGGCTTCAGCTAATGATTGTTTTCATTATCAATTAATCAGTACATTTTTTTTTTTACGGTTAATTGATTAATTTTCTGTCCTACAAAATGATAGGACATAGTAAAGAACACCTATTACGATTTCCGAGACTCAATTTACAATGACATAAAACTGAAAAACACTAAATACTCACATTTGAGAATTGGGAACCAGTGAGTGTTTGGCATTTGATTTGATTTGATTATCAGAAATAAATGTTCTGTTGTTCAACTTATTGTTTAGTTAAACTAACTGTTTGAGCACTAGAATGACCTGCTGCAGGCAATATTGGACTAAGCTGGTGGAAGTGCACTCTTGTAGACTTTGCTTGTCATTTGCTGTGTCTTTCCTCTCCTGCGTATCTAAGAAGAAAGGGACTAATTGAATCTGAGAGAGGCACATCTGTTTCTGCCTTTGGCTGCAGTCACTGAGTCCCCCTGAAACCACAACATTAAACATTTAAGCCCTGTCCCTCTTCCCCCTGGGGTGTGCTATGTCGCTATGTGAGCGTGTGGCTCTGTGTGTGTGTGTGTGTGTACTGTATCGAAAAGCCTGAAACGAGAAAGGACCTCAAGATGTGGGTTTTGTGGGGCAGTTGGAGAGGTACAGAGAAGGGGGAAAAAGAGCCCAGGAACAGGGGGAGGAAGGGGGGAATGATAGAGAGAAAAGGAGGGCAGAGGATAGCGCACTCGGCCTTTAAACTGCAATCTGTGAAAGCCATCAGAGGCAAGGTGTGTTTTCAGCAGAGGAAGGAGAGACAGAAACTCCTAGTCCAAATTCCTCTGTCCATCCCGAAATCCAACTCCACTCCTACCTTAGGTGTGTGTTTTCAACACAATGGCTATCTGTACTCCTCACTCTGACTCTTTTGTTTGCACTGCTGCATGACATGAGACTGATTTGAGGACCGGGCACCTTTGGGGTTAAGTGTGTGAGAGTGTGAGTGTGTGCATGGCTGCACCGAGGGCTAAATCAAATAACGGCCCACTTTCCTTTTCACGTCAATCCCATTTCCTTACACACAGGAAAGCTTGCCTGCCACTGTTGATTTGAGGTTAGTGTGTGTGTGTGTGTGTGTGTGTGTGTGTGTGTGTGTATAGAGACACACCGAACCATATCCACACACACGAGCTAACACACCAGTGCGCACACTCACTGATGGCAGGTCTAGGTGCAGGTAAAGTCTTGGTAACTGAGCTGCTTAGCTGGTGTCTGTCCTGGCTGTGAAAACAAAACCTCCATCCAAAGTTTAGACAGACTGTCAAGCTGTCACTGGCTGCTTGCCCTGACTGCCTGTTTGGCTGCAGGAGACCGGCCTCAGTGATGAAATGCCAAAGGTCAATGGCACTCAGTGGAAAAGGAGGCGGTTTTTGAGAGAGTAATGGAGGATTTCTTGATTCTTGGATGCATGTGTGGGATTTTAAGGCTATTCAGTAACTTGCCAGCTACAATACATATTTTAAATGCTGAACTAGCACTACATTTTTCACACTGCAGACGGGGAATTTGCTGTTCCAAACTGGGAGGAGGTTCTCAAGACTGACTAATATAGCAGTTCTTACAGTTACATTTGTGGTATAAAACTATAATACTGAGGGGACAGGAAACTGTGCAAATTTGGTCTCATTTTAAGCTGAAAGTACATCCAGAATGGGATGAAAGATGCTTGTTAAATTTACGAGCAGACACAGAGCCTAGTAATACATTTTACACCTACTTACCAACCAAATGACCAACCTAATGACCCCTCAGCACCTCACACATCCAAATCACTGACCCCGACATGTCTCTGTGTCTGTATCTAGCAAGTTGGTGTGATTGACAGGTAAAACATTGTCAGTTTTTGACCTCTGACCCCTCTGGTGAACCTGAAATGCACCCTGAAGCAATCTGACCCCCTTTTGATACACAGCTGAACCCAACCTTAACTCCAGCTTTTAGCCTGAGCCACACGCTGCTTCTTGGCCTCATCAACTCAGTGCTGCTTCTGTGTCTGTGCCAAAGGTGCCTGTTGTCTAATTGAGCTTAATTCTGCCCAAACCTTAAGCGTGGGTGTCATTTTTGTTCCTTCTTAGCCATATTTAGTCTCTTCTACCTTTCGTTTAGTTTTCCGCTGTAAGCTATCAAATAAAACCACAAACATATGACATAATCTTTTAGAAAAAAAGTCCATTACAGCTAAATCTGGAGCTTAATCATCGTCCTTCCTTCTCTCTGTGTTCCTGCATCAGACTAATGACTATTAACGTCAATGGGAGCATATGGCGGCTCTAGCAGGCCTCCCAGACGCCTGTGCAGTCCTCTCATAATGCTGATCAAACATCTCTGGCTCCTTTGAACAGTGTGACTTTACTACCGTGCTAACGACACTCCATGTATGTGTGTGTCTGTTCGTGCGTGTGTGTGTGTGTTTCACTTCCGCCTGCCAGCTCTCTAATGACAGACGACACAAGCACTGCGCCGTTTGTGTGTGTGCATGTTTATACGGTGTGTGTGTGTGTATCTGTGTGTGTTGGCTGAAAGCTCTGCCACCCATGAGTTTCTACTCTAGTTCCTCCTCCCAGAAGGCCTCCACCAGCCTAAGTTTCAACCTGTAACCCTTGTGTGTATATTTACTGTACAGTGTTTTTAATCCCGGATCTCTGATTTTCAGTGGGTCTGCGCGGGGTCTTGCTTTGACCTGGAGCCTGGCACACGCTCAACACACACTGTCTAGCCGCCAGTGAAACTGATCACAAGCCACACATGTGAACTTGTGTGCAGTCATGTGTGTATTTCCCTTGATATCCTGTTTGTGGAATGAAGAAATCTGTTATTATAGCTGAATGAAAAGGAAAAAGGGGGGAAGGGAGTGGGGGGGGGAGAAAAGAAAAGGTAAAACTAAACAAATTCTCCTTTTCAGCCTAATCTGTTGAAGCACAAAGCCAGAGTAATGCTGAGAGTGGAGTAGCTTTAAATTAGGGAGAAAATTAGGTAGTAAAAGAGTGGTTTTACAGACCTCCTTTGCTTCAAATGGACCTATTTCTGAACTAAAAACTGACGTATATAAACAGCTTCACACTCGGATAAAAAAAGCATTTTTGGGTCTCGTATGATTGGAGTGAGGTTTCTAATATGTTTTGTAAAGTCAAAAGGTGGAGGTCTCTGCTAAAGTAAGTAGGTGGTACATAACATAAGGAGCTGCTTGCATGTAATTTAATTGAATGCTGCTTTGTCTGCTCACAGTTTTGGGGATTTGGGCCGAGGCTTGAATGTCTGGCAGACCGAACATGCGGATAATGTATTATTATACTTTTTTCTTTCCCTCAATCTTATGTTTTCTCCCCTACTTGAGTAAGTCCCTAAAGAATGGATGCGGCAGCAGTTCGCTGGCACTTATCCCTATACCCCCTTCTTCTGACTGATGACTTTACCAGAAAGGAGAAGGAAAGTAATGCAGGAGAACATGGGGATGGTAGTGGAGTGCATGGGGGGAACCATGAAATGTGGAGGTCAAGAATGAAGAGTAGGGAAGCTGTAATGAGAGGAGCTGGACAGAAAGTGCAGAAGTGAAGGAATGCAAGTCGGAGAAAGAATTTTGATTATAACATGGGGAGCTGAGTAGAGACGGATTGACTTGTTGAGTGTGAGTATTTACCGGGATACTGATTGTTGTCCAGGTCTTGGCCTCCTCGCAGAGTGAATCCATATCCAGGCAAGCTGCCACTGGGTGTTCGGGCTGCTCTCAGCTCTTGGCTCAGCGTCAGGCTTTGCGTGGATACGTCTCTGTTACCGTTAAAGATCAATACCCTGCCTCCACGGTCTTCGCCTCCGAACGGACAGCCCACCGCCACGTCTAAGGGATGACACACACACATACACGCATGGTTTACACATCAGCAGGGTTAAGGTCCCTCTGAGACAGAAAGCAGAGGAAAACATACAGGTAGAAGGAAAAAGTGAAGGAAAAGAGCTTGACTGTCATTTACCTGCACTGGGGGACCATGACAGCATTGCCATTTACCTCCTTTCATTAATTTTCACTAGTTTTACTCTTTTAATCTTCTTTATGTTTCTTTTCTGTCTGCACACTGTTAAGGTCTTTGTTGTACTCTGTGGTTACTTAGTATTGTGCTCTGCATGGGAAACATTTGGTTTAATATCACCCTATAATAAGGGACAAATGGATAAAGGGTAAGCTAGGAGGTTGTCATGGCAACAAGTCTTAAAGGAATAGTTTGTAACTTTGGAAAATACACTTATTCGCTTCCTTACTGAAAGTAACTCTCTGGTAATTATCTTCTCATCTAATTTGTGGCAGGAAAGTGATTGAGAAAATGTTGAACTATATCTTTGAAGTCCCTGAAAAGTTGAATGCTCAAAAACTCAGCCAATCTGATCAGGACTGTGTGGGTGTGGTTCTCATCAGATCTCATCAGATTCCCATCAGATGAAATGTGTCCCTGATTGGTGCATGTAAGTACACATCACTTCCCCCCCCCCCATTCCAAACCAGTTTGAAAAGTGCAAACAAAATATGTGGAAATAACCAAAACTTCTCTAATTTAAAGTTTTAAATTATTATTTTTTTTATGTATGACCCAATTGCCCATAGTAAAAAGATGATGTGGAACAACAGAGCACAGAGGGTAAACAATTTACCTACTGCAAGCACCTGTCCTGATGTCGTCATAGATTCTTTAACCATACCATAATTTTTGGTGTTCACTCTTTAACCTCTTATGTCCACACATTGCACTGTCCTGTATCTGAGTATCCCTCAGTACTGTCCAAACACCTCTAGACATCCTGTTTGTCTCTGGACCCCCTCTCTCTCAGCCTAAACAACTAGTTCCACATGAAGCAGATTGTGGGGTAGAGAGGATAAATGCAACCATGTGTGTATGCAAGTGTATACATGTGCCTGTGTGTACGCATATGTGTCTGCGAGTCTGTATGTCTATGCGTGGGTAACTGAATAGCTGTGTAAAAAAAAAAAAAAAAAAAAAAACTTTAAAAAATGTTTCAAATAATGTGAAAGTCACTTATGGACATTGTTCATAAGCATCCCACATGATTCCACGGCAAAATGTGGAACACCCACTGTGATCGCTGAGACCAAAACTATAGGAGATTGTTACTCACAGACAGAAAGAGGCTGACACTTTGTGAGTTATGATGACAGAAAGCCAGTGTCGGTTGATAAAAACAAAAAGAGCCACATGAAAATTAAATTAGCTAAATTGTAAGGTTTCTGCTAACACTCAACAAAGCCACGAAGATGAGAGGAAATTGGTATGGTTCTGCTTTTATAAATAATTTTGCAAAAGCAGTGATGAGGTCTCTGCAGACAGAAAAGGAATCTGTCTCTGATTATGCACACATAATCACAAAGTTGCACAGGTATACTTAAACACAGGAGTTTGACATTAGCAAAAAGAAGCTGCTGAAAACCCTGAGCAAAATGTTTCCATGGTGACTTCATAACATAATGCAGAATAATGAAATCCTGCACAGGCATGGACTTGTACTCATTAGATGGCAGAGAGGCTCCACGTCCTCTCAGGTCACATCACCACCCCTCAGAGACCGTCACATCTTGACAGACAGCCTGATGCGAATTATGTGCCTGCCCAGAGAAAGCTTCATTATTGATCCAATGCTTATTGATCTGATTGTTAAAGGGTTTAAAGGGGTGGGACACACATCAACACACTGACCATGAATAAATAAAACACAAATCAGTGGGATTGATGTCATACGAGGGCCATATGTGCATCAGTTCATTCATTTTTAAGCAGGTCTTAGCTTCATGGAGCATTTGGGCTGCAGGCTGCATGGTTTGTGTGTGTATGTGTGTGTGTGTGTGTGTGTGTGTGTGTGTGTGTGTGTGTGTGTGTGTGTGTCCAATCAATGCAAGGATAAAACAAACACATCCAAGAGGAATGAACTGAGGGCTGCAGGACAGAAACTCCCAGATGATTTTATCTCAGTGCACATCTGGTGAGTTAAAAATAACTCCAACACACACACACACACACACTTAGACACACATGGCCTTAACCCTTATCATCACAGGAGGAAACAAGTTCACACAGACAACCTTTCATGGCTGCACTTCCTGATTTGCTGAAGAGCTTTAAGTTTGCTCAAGCAGCAGCATCTGATAGGATTTCCTCAGTCAGAGACAAAACAGTTCAAGAGCCATGGGAAACACAGAAAAAGATTAGTCCATCATTGGGTTTACCTGAAATCACCAGCCCCATATGAGCAGACAAGTAGAGGGGAAAAAGTTCATGCAGTGGCATCAGGATTGTGTTAAATTTTCTCATATTCATATCTTTCTCCTTCTCTTTTTCTCTTTGTTGTCTCTCTCAAGTTGCATATTTTTGTTTCGCATATGAATTTCATCTGGCTCAATTTCCTTTTTATCTCATCTTTCCCTTTCTTCTCCCCTTCTTTCTGTCTTTCATCCTCTCAGCATACCATTGTATCCATCCTGGTTGATGTCTCCCAGGGGTGCTATAGCTGTGCCGAAGCGCCCAAAGGTGTGCGTGCCGGTGAGGGCAACAGGTTTGGAGAAAGTGAGCGGGGCCATCTGCAGGTACAGGTACACCCTCCCCACCTCTCTGGGTTTGCTCTCCATCTCTCTCTCCATGTAGAGGGGCGCTCCAACCAGCACATCGTCAGTCCTGGGAACATTAGACGCAGTTTCAGTGCTCAGAGAAAGAGACTTTATGTGTGTGTCTAGAGTGACAGAGAAATTATCTACTTACCCATCTCCATTCAGGTCAGTGACAGCCACCGAGTAGCCAAAATAGGAGGCCATCTGAGGGACAGACAGCAAAGGAACAAAAGTATTTACCATAAATGCAATATGGTTACATGATTTTCATCTAATTTAATTTTCACCCATCCCCATTCAAATTGAATTAATTCAAAAATAGAATAAAATCCATAGCAGCTGGTGCCCAGGGTGCAGCAGTTTATATACAGCCTTGCAAGGTGACAGACTGTGACTGGGTGTTGATGCTCCTACCTGTTCCCCTGTAAAGTTCTGGATGAAGGTCAGATTGGTGGAGTTGATCATTGCCACCTAAAACAAGTAGATATAACAAAGCATGACTAACAAAATACCAGACTTTGTCCTTGCAGCATGGCCAAGAAGTCTGACAAACAGGCACATAAAGAATGCAGGAAAAAGTCAGAAACCGCATAAAAAAAGCTTTTATTCTACTGAAACCCCTTTCTTTTTTGTGCCCTCCCCCACCACGATCCTCTTTGCGCCTTTACCATTTCCCCCCTCATCTTTCTCTCCTTCCCCCCATCCTAACCCAGGTCGTGGGGAGCGACGGAGGGGGGAGGCTGAGAATTCCTTCATAAGACCTAAAATAACAACCACATGGAGACAGCCGGGGGCTACACGTACACACTCATGCACACACGCACACACATGCAGAAGGATACACGTTGACCCAATCACAGATGTCTCAAAGACATACTAAACGGGGATAGACTTACGAACACAGACAGATGAGGATTTGTAAACACAAATATTGAATCGAAGCACACTGAGTTGTCAAATTGGTCACAGAAGAAACTCAATCAGGGTTGACAGTTAGTTCAGTTCCAGGCCTACATGGCCTACCTGCGTCCCTCATAACACTCCTCCTACTGTGAGCTACAGCCCCCCTCCTCTATAACACTCCCAGTGCACTGTCTGTACAGGAAGGAGCATTCTCGCACCAGAAACAATCTCCAGACATAAAACGCACACTGTTTCAGTGTGTGTGTGTGTGTGTGTGTGTGTGTGTGTGTGCGTAGTGTGGTGAGTCCTGCGGTTGCACTGCAGGTTAGGGTTAGGGGTCGGTTGTGTGTGGAGAAGGGTTAGTGGGGTTAGGTGGGGTCACCGCCCTCCACATGCAGCGGAAGCCGTGTGTCATTAGGGAGGCTTGACACAGTCAGCCCTGGGGACATGTTCCCATAAGAGAACACACCACAGTTTAAGCATAGATGCACATACAGTATCTGGTGTTGCTATGTAGATACATATGTGTGCAATGAAAGATGTAATCCTATATGAAACACTAAAAGCAGAAGAATCCAAAAGGACTTTATTGTGTGTGTGTCTGCACATAAAAACTCTCTGATCTCTCCTGCACTTCTTATCTCAGACTGCCACACATACAACTTGGCCATAACTAACAGGTTTGTATACAGCATACAGTGACAAAGTAAAGAAAAAAACTATATTAAGTTTCGCCAAAACAGCTTTAAAGGTCCTTCCCTCTGGAAACATACAGGAGGGATGAACACCATCCTAAAACCCAAAATATATTCCCTTATTTGGTGTTTTGGTGATGGTGGTGAAGCGTGCACAGTACAGACCAAAATCTGTTATAGGTGTTCAACTGGGATGAGATCTTGTGACTGCAAAGGCCATAACATATGATTCATAATAATGATTCTGCCTGTAAAATGCTGTTGCAGCTGAATGAACAAATAAATGTATTTTCCTGGAAATCTAGGCCAAAAAAATCCATCCTGTGCGCCTTTTATCTCATTGCGATTCATACTCACATATCCAAAGTTTTGTGCTCCTCTTGGGACTCCGGCTATCAGCTCTGGGAAACAAAGAAAGACAAAAATTAGCATATGTCAAAGTGTGAGAAAGAGAAAGAAAAGTGCTCAACGGAAGTTTGTCTCAAAGGCCTAACCCTTAAAAATGCCCTACCCAGCCCACCCTGTCAGAAGGGCAAAGTGTGGCTGAGAACACACTGAGTGATTGGGTGCTCAGGCTCTGCTTGTGTATTGATTGATGAGTGCGGTGCCTTCGTCTTATAGGGACAATCTGAAGGACCCACCCAGAGAGAGAAGATAGAGTGCCCCCCTTCCAGCCCTCTACCCAAAAGGCTCAACCACAAGCCTATAAACCAGGACTTCCCAGCTCCGTCTTCACTCAGAACTCCCAGTTACGACCAGTTCTCCAGTCTGAAGAGGGTTTGGGGGGAACAAGACCACAACAAGCTTCGTACCACAACACATCAACAGGCATGTGTAACCTCTTATGGTTCACTTTAAGACTCTATGACATGTGTTGCGCTTGAGGGGGTTCAGGGCCTTTGGAGGGTCTGTATGGGGGTATGTAAACGTAGGGCTGTCCCGTAAAGATCCCACTAAATGGGAATTAGCAAAGAGGCTCTGATAGACAGGAAATTATGAATGGGAAGCTGTAGTGGCATTGGGGGAGGAGGGTCTCATGTTTGTGTTTGAAAAGAAAGCAATAAAAAAAAGGGTTTCGAAAATGATGTAGCATGACTGTGGTTGGACACATATTTTCTTTAATCAAAGAGCTGTGCTTTTATGTTGAAATTGGCTTGTGTGTTTCATTTACTGAAAAACTGATGGCATGGGAATGAACATCAGCAGCACCTGAAGCTCACAAAGAGATAGGAATCAAAATGCTGCACTGTTGGCAAGACACCAGAGAGTATAACTAAGAAAAATAAAATGATTTGTACATTTCTAATACTTAATTCTATGAATTTATTTTGGCCTCTCATTTGAAAGGTTCAACAAAGATAAACTCAAAGGCACTTTCCCCCACCTGCACGTGTTTAATAAAATGATGCTGCGTGGCGTGCCTGTCTCCCTTTCCACCTAATATTTCAAGTCCAGAGAAGACCCACTCAAGATCTGAAGAGGTCTGCGGAGTCTGCCACTAATCATTCTAATCAGTCAAAATGGAAGAGAGGAAATCCCTTTATCAGTGGTTCCTGAAGTCCTGTCCCCTCAGGGTCGTGACCCAGACATACAGAGACAGTTCTCATTACTGCCTTTGAGTTCAGACCAAGACACTGTCACACAACTGTCCACTCCTTATCGCTCACTCTTTTACGCCCGTCACAGTGGTCCTGGCATCCAGCCGGAGAGTATACAGAGAGTGTTCCAGCTGTTTCAGGCGGTGTTGTTAGTGAGGGATTCTTCTGGTGCTGCATGTGGTTAGTTGTAATGAATTGTTGGATTTCTCACCTTGTTCGGAGTCTCCTGTAAACTCTCCCACTGCCACAGAGTAACCTAGAGAGAGAAATCAGTTGCACATGAAAACATGTGGGTGAAATTAACTCTGTACACAGTGCTCTCCGTATACCGTATGTAATGTAATGTATGATAATTATTTAGTGTGTGTGTTTGTTTTGTAAGTGCATGTTACCAAGGTAGCTGTCGTCGTGTGTGTCCTCAGCTGCTCTGGTGTGTTTCTCTCCTGGAACCCGTCTTAGCACTGCCTTCAAAGAGTAGCCGTTTAGTATCTCAGCTATCCCTGCTGTCATTACCTGACCTGCGCACGCACACAATCACACACACACACACACACACACACACACACACACATACACACACACACATAGGGATAAATAGATAAAGAAAAACAAACACTCAGGGTGAGAGAGTCACATCTGTTCACGGACAGCGGTTTCAGCTCGGACCCCATGAAGGGAGCACCGCTGCCCTCTGCTATAGAAACCGGCTGGAGCTGGACCGCCTGTTCCATGTGAAGATGCACAGAGCTAACGACACACATCTAAGCCTTCCCTGAGGAAAGCTAAAACACATCGTTGGCAGAGGAATAGCTGAAAAAATACCCCAATGTTCCTTTAAAAACCCTCAAGCAAACGCCTTTCCTCGCCGCAGCAAGCATCCTGAATTATAGGTGAGCGCACACAAACAACACCCTTCCTCTGCTGTTGAACAAGAGGTCAAACAAACAAATGATTTTATCTACGGCCGCCCTCAACCTTCCATAAATCCTCCTTAATGTGTGTGTATGTACTGACAGGGAGGGAAATATGCCCTTTTAGCCCTCCCTCCAACCCCTCTTCTTCTCTCTCACATTGAGTTTATCTCCCAGAATAACACTATATCAACTCATTATAAAACCTCTATCTGATTAATGAGACACCGTGTTACAAACTGTTAACACAGATGCATAACTCACTGCTGCTAATATGAAATGTCCTTTACACCCAGCGATAACAAGATTGTATATAAAAGATTTTTTTTCCAGTGACTCAGGCTGAAGGCTGAAGATAATCGTTGTATATTAGAGGCCATATAATCCAGGCTGAGTGCTTTTATAAACATTCGGAGGAAGTGTTTTAACTGGAGGCAGCCAGCCTTGCCACGCTGAGGGCACAGAGAGGGAGCAGTCCATTAGGCTGTCTGTGATGCCTGTCTAGTGTGGTCTTGTATGGTGGAGCCTTCATTACTTAACCATATGTAATAACAGCAGCAATACCAAACAATAACCCAGAATCATACAAATTTGTGTGGCAGTTTTGAAATATCTGTCACAGAGCCACTTTCCTTCGCTCTTTCAACATTCTCTTGCTGCATATTTTCTTTTTCTAAACAAATGAAGTGCTGTGGAGTGACAGATGAGGGGTTACAAAGAAAGGAAAGAGAAATTAGCATGTGAAACTGATAACTGACTGTCTGCTTGCTCCTGGTGAACAGCTGCAGAACTCCTCTACATTTGGATAACACACTCTCACACACCTGGAGCTGGGGGAGTAGTGCTTCACTTCAACAGCTGAACTCTGACACACTCTAGCTGTGTCTACAACTATGAAGACACTTCATCCCTTTCGCTTAGACTAGCCCTGCATATCCAGAAAGCTAGCTGACCTCAGCGCTGCTTTTTATAAAGCAGAACATCCATCTTTCTCCTTCTTTCTCTGTGTCTGAGTTACTCCTCCACCTCTTACCCCCCACCCCCTCCACCCCTGCTGCAACATGTTTCTATCATCTCCTTAAGAATCCTCCATCACTCCCACTGTCCTCCTTGCTCTCAGTCTTCAAACCTCCCCACCTTTCTTCTATCCTTCACAACCCTGTAGCCTGCCCTTGAGCCTCTTCCTCTCTCCTCAGTGCTTTTTCCAATGCCCTCTGTGCTTTGTCACAGGGCAGAGGGGCAGTTCCTCCACACTCCATTACCCCCCTGATCAGCTCATTACAGAGCCCAAACACTTAGTTCCTGTTACACTGTTACAGGCAGAGAGTGGCATGAAGTGAAGGAGCGAGGAAGGGGGGAAAAAGTTAAGGAAAGCGTCAGAGAGAGACACATTTCTTTCCACCTTCTCCTACGTAAGACTCCTGTTATGAAACTGCAGATTTGGCCAGTGTGTCCCTGTGCATGTGTGTGTATGTGGGCTGTTTGGACTGTTAAACTCATCTCCATTCTCTTCTCTCATTTGAACACCTTCCCATCTATGAAATCATTGCAAGAGAGACCAAATACAGGTTTACACTGTTGTTGCACTTACCTTGCCAGTAAAAGCTTCCAGGTCCTCCTACGACCAGCATTCCTTCCTGGAATAAATACGGTAAGTTAGGGTTGGTCATGTGACAGCAATTTGTCAGTGTGAGCGTGTGCTTGTGTCAGGGGTATATAACATGTGTAGCCATTTGTGTGTATGTGTGCACATATTATTTCTTGCTGTCATGTCTGTTGACATCCTTTGGAGAATGACAGCTTCCTGTACAGGAGGGTAGAGTTGGACCATATGACACTGATGCCAAAGTTCACATTGACTATACAGTGAAAGAATGTGTATGTGTGTGTTTGGCCTATTGTGTTCAGAGGCGATGGGTCACATCAGGAGTTGAGGCTCCTCTGGGGACAAACGTGCTCTCATCTTCCCCGTGTCCATAAATCTCTGAAGGGAGTCTTGTGTTTGAAGAGACCATTCTGCTCGCATTTTACAAAGATGTGTGCATGGGGTTGTCATGGCGATAGTGTACGATTGTTTTGCCGCAATCTTTACCTTGGTGAAATCAACACTGAAGCCAGCCTGGCAGAACCCCTGTCCCTCTGGGTCTGGATCATCTGAAAACCACACAAACAGTAAAACATGTCATTCAAACAAGCGTCTTAATTGTTAAAAAAAATAAATTTTCTGGAACAAAGCACTCAACTAACATTGCAGAGAGCATTACTTGTATCAGATTAAACAGTTTTACAACTAAAAAAATGGAGAAAAACATAAAAATGAACCGATGAGTTGTGTTTCTGTCTAAATTACTGCACTACACTGTGCATGAACATGCAAAACTTATGTGCACACAATAAATTGTTCTCCATCTCAGAGGCACCCTGCGGTGAATCTTAATGATGCGTAACTACACACGTGCACGTATAAACAGAGTGTGAGTTATAGTAGGAGTCTGAGTGGTCTTAGATTCATGTTAAGATGAAGTAAAAAAGCTGCTGGAAGAAGAAAAATCAGACTTAGACACACGTGAAGAAATACTTCCTTTGCCCTCAGAACTCTGCAGCATTACTCCCCCCTTTAGAACAATTGAGTTTACAACGTGATTATTCTAGTCTTGATTAGTCAGAACCAACATAAAAAGAAAACAGAGATCTTTAACAACTTTCATTAGTAGAGGGAGTGTAAGAACGAATGTGAACGGAGGGGGATTTTCATGCAGAGCAGATGATGGGGTGTATGATAAGGGCTGTGTTTGATCTGCTGTTTACGATGTGCCACCTGATAGCCTCCATTTCTCCTTATCATACTCTGCCGGTGCCTCATATCACAGCACAGGGGGAGAGGGGTCGCAGGAAGAAAAAAAAAAACCTGGAGATTAAGGAGAAGGGGTGTGGGCGGCAGAAAAATCCCATGAATCCCATTTACAGAACCGATGACAGAAAGAAGAGGACCAGAGAGAGAAACAGATACTGTGAGAGAGACAGACTACCGGGGTTCTGTGGCGACTTTTGAAACATCAGGCAAGGTAATCCATGGTAATGCATGGCTAGATACTACCAGAGGTAAGTGAGATTGTTCTTTTTTTGTGATTTAGATGACACTTTACACTTGAGGCCTAGATATTAGTTTTTATTGGCTGACGTAAAAATCACTTCATGTATTTAAACTTTAAGCCATATTGTGAGATGTGACACGTGACACTGATGGAAGATACAGTATATCAAAAATAAACTGTGGTTAATTTGTGTTTATACTGACAGCCGATAAAGAAAAAGAAAACAAAGGGGGGGAGGATGGAAGACAGTGAAAGGGAGATGGAGACAGTTGGAGACGAGGCTGCAGAGTGACTCACTGGTCCTGCAGGGCGAGTACTCTGCGTAGGCGCTGAAGTTCTGGACGGCCACATAGCAGGTCCCAACGGGGTCCTTCTCCCCACTCAGCTTCACTGTCCGCCAGTGGTAGAGAGGAGCACATGCCTGCGCAATAAAAACCACTCTCATTAAGACCAGTTTAAAGAAATACCGGCGCTGACCCAAAAGGGGAATAAAACATAACAGGACAAGTTTGTGTGCAACCTATACTGCCCTTTAAAGGAAGATAGCAATATTTTCTCCAAAATTTAGGGGAAAAAAGTTCAAAGCATGAATGCTAGAAGAACTTTTAAATAACTTTTTTCCAATTTAATAATATAACTTAACCACACAAAATCGTGAAACCCATTTAAATCAGAAGCTGAGATGGCAGTTGCTGCTAAGCTAACGTTAGGCTAGTTAACATTTTTTCTTTTAACGATTAGTTTAGATGTTTATTTTTTGCCTTGACTGAATTAAGGTTCTTAGTTTAAATATGCTTAAAAATTAAGCTCAGATGTCTCTATTTCAATGACAGGAAACAGCTGTGGGGGAAAAGTTTAGCTTTAGCCAGGGCTAGCCATTTTTATCTCCAGCTAGCTAGCGTTAACAGGATTTAGCTCCCTACATGACTATGGCATAAAAATGTCAAGATAAATGTCAAGACAGTTTGTAGTCTACACTAAATTTTGACTAAACTTGTAGTTACTGCATTTTGGCTTTGTTTGGAAGTATAGTTTTGAAGCATGTATGATGATACAGGTGATACGTGTCTGATATTAAGCGACATCACATCAACTCACCACTACTTTTCCTTTGTGTGTCCTGACCGATGCTCCGAACCACTGGTGCGACTTAAACTCCAGAGGCTCTCTGGTGCCATTGACCTTTATCATCCTGTTATCTGGAGGGAGAGAGAGACAGAGATAGAGAGAGAGAGAGAGACAGAGAGAGAGATAGAGAGACAGAGACAGAGAGAGAGAAAGGAAGTGGAAAACACATGAAAGAGACGTTTCATAATTGTATAATGGTGCCAATAAAAGCTGGTATTGACTGTGTTAATGTGGATCCAGGCCTGTAGCGCCGTCTGTGTGAATGGAAAGCATTTGTCCTTGATAAGCAAGAACAAACTGTAACATCTTACAGCCCTATAACAAACATCCAAACACCATTTGCCCCCCAGAAACAGACATTTGTCAGGATGCTGGAGGCTTTTAAAAAAAAAATCAAAGCCTTTCCAATAAAATGTAACAACACTTACGATACTTACACATACACACACACACACACACACACACACACACACACACACACACACACACACACACACACATAGGCTCGTATGCGCATTATGAGCATTTCCCAGTTGACTCACAATAAAGCGTCAGATTTGGTTAAAGTGTGCATGTGTGTCTTTGCTCTGCTGTGGATATTTTCCAGTGTTATTAAAGACCAGCTGGGTCTCTTTAGAGCTGTGCAGACCCCTCCCCATAAACACCTTCCTTTCGCAGATGCACACACACTTAAATAGGAAAGGAAGGTAGAAAATATAAATGCATAAAGGCAGGTGTATAGTGGAATTTTTCCCTATAAAAGTTATTCATATTTTCAGTTCAGGAGTTTGTTATAGCGTTTATTTGATTATAACTGTATTTCTGATTTAATTTATTGTCACCATCATCATTTACTTATTTATTTGGTCAAGCCTACCTTCTTCCAAATTATGTTTGCATGCTCTTATATAAATGATCCTGCAGCAATATAAAGAAGCAGGTTTGGAAATTGTGGGTGATGGTAGTGAATGGCTGAAGTGTGAAGCTCTCAGATTTGTGGATGCATGGTACTGTTTGAATGTGAAGAAGGACATTACTGAAGAAAATAATTCAAATAAATAATTTCAAGACTCATGTATGGATAATTTTCTGGGAGATTAAAAAACAAGCAGAACCCAGACGCAGGGTTTCTTTAATCATGCACATGCAATCACTAATGTGTGCCTGTCACCATATGCACCCCGGTGTCATCCCACACACACATACTCAGCCACATGTGAAGCGGACTTATGGATATTAACCAGTACAGTACACACATATGCTCACCACTCGTGCTGATATTTTGTATAGTGTGCGTATGTGTATCTTTGTCTGGTTTATACCTGTAATAAAGGGTCTGCTGTAACTCTAGAAGTAGCCACCGTGGCCACTGTCATCAATCACCTTGTGCATACCCACTCATTCTAGTTAACAGATACACACGCACTCGTGTGAATACACACACACACGACTACGCACACATTTGATCCTCTGTTTATTTTTATACCCCCAAAACCTGAAATTTCCCCCAAAGCACTTCACACTAAAACTAACCCCCTCTAAAACATATAACCTATGATTAACTTTAGGGAGAGCAAAGAAAATCTTCCTCACTCTTGAGGTTTTACCATCATCTGCATGGAGCCTTGCTTTAGTTCAGGTAGAACAATAAAGTCATACTTGCATCAGCTGATGCTTTGGATTAAGCAGCTGTGTATATAACACGATAGTCCTCTGCTGATACCTTCATGACAATATCACTCGCTGCTGCAGCTCCATCCACAACTAAAACTGTCTAATGTTCATACACAGCTTTCTCTGAGTTCTGTCCGATGAATTAGCTCTCTCTGTAGGTAGGTGTACTTGTTGCAGCAGACACCCTCAAAGAGCAAAACCACCACCAAAGTTAACTGTGCCATACAAGCTCAGTTCCTTCTCCTCTTCTATTTTTCTGGTCCTCACAAAGATGATAGGAATCCTCACAATAAGAGACAGAAAGAAAGAGAGGGGGATAGAGAGTAGGAAGGAGACAGGGATACATTTTCAAGATCTAATAAAAAGCAGACCTCACCCAATCCCCCTTTCTTCCGAAGGGGAACTAAATTCCCATGTGCATACAGTTTAACCCCCCCCAACTCTGTCTTGCTCTCCCACTTGTTCTCTCTCTACCTCTTGCACACACACATACACTTACTAGTCAGATGGAAAAGTGTGCATCAGAGACATTAGACACACAAACAAAGGCAGATTGGACCCTTGATGATAATAAATTGAAAACCATAATCAACATGATGTAGACTTGCATCAGCAAATCCGCAAGCCACCTTTTTTGTTCGATGAAGCTGATGAGACCCACATGTCTTATCTTTCTTTTTCATGCAGCAACACATGTACCAACTCTCTCTCTCTCTCTCTCTCTCTCTCTCTCTCTCTCTCTCTCTCACACACACACACACACACACACACACACACACACACACACACACCAGACACAGGTTATGAAACTCCAGTGGTTCCAAATGGAGTAACATCTGGGGCCACCTATGGCTTTAAAAGGATCCACTTGGATCTCAGAGAAATGAACGCTTGTTAAATTTCATTTGACTTAAACACTCTTAATAAAATAATGACATTGTTGCACATATGTCTCACATTCTGTCCAAATATAGAACAGTGAAGTTATTCCTTCCCATGTACTGTAACGACACAAATGTTTTACAACATAAGTCTATGGAACATATTTATACCCAGTATGGCCCCCAGGAGTTCTGCCATGAATTTATTTTAATACATGACATGAAAAAAGAAGAAGAAAGCTTTCAGGTTGCTCACTTGAATTGTCAAAAGGTATCTGTCTGCAGCTGTCAGGGAGTCCAGGCCAGGGGCAGTAGTAGACGGCCCCTGCCTCCACAACTCCAGGCTGGGAGGTGTTCGCCTTGGGAGCCCCCACCAACACACTGAATCTGGAGGGGAAAAGAGAAACCAAATGTACATGCAAGACATGCAGGATAGTGTTCAAGGCGTTAAGCAAACTTGCGCTGTCAGTGCGCAATTTGGCTCATTCATACATTTATTTTCTGTTCCATAATTCCGTTTTTCTCTGAATCATTCATGCGTCTTCTGTCACATTACAGGGTGGCATGCAGATTGTGTAGCTACAGGGATCCTGAACCTAATTTCTTTTTCATTTAAATATTCTTTTCCCACCGTATTTGGATTCAAATAATTAAACTAGATGTACATGAACAGTTTAAGTGGAATTAGTTTGTAAGTCCTGCAGGACACTGATGGGACAACTTGAGTACTGATGTTGCCACTCACGTGTTGCTGTCGGGGGTAGCTTGGTAGAAGTCCACTGAATAACCGAAATAACTTCCATCGGGTCCCCTGTAAACCGTAGGATGCTCTGCGTAAAGGTTAAAACTCCAAACTCCATTTAGTGCCGGACAAAGCACCGACAGCACCCCGAGAATAAACATCCCAGCGGAGGAAACACAGTCCCACACACGCTCCATCATCCCCAAAGAACAGCCAGCTGCGCACTATTCCCAAAAATGAGAGGGAACTGAGGCAGAGAGAGAGAGAGAGAGAGAGAGAGAGAGAGAGAGAGAGAGAGAGAGTTTCCTCCCTGCAGGTGAGGTAGGTTTCTCTCGGGTTAAGTCGTCCAACTGCTTGTCACTGGATCACTGCGCTCCCCCCCACAAAAAACTGCCCCCTGACACCCTGAAACCCCCAGGTCTGTCCAGAGTCTGAGACTACAAGACTACACAGCCGCGCCCCCGCCATCTGCACAAAACTTTACCCCCTACACACACTCACACACACTCACACACACACACACACACACACACACTTACACACATTACAAGGCACAGACCACATCTGAGCGCGCTACGGGGCTGGCGCGTCACCGCTCCTTTTATGGCACAGACACATTTTCTGTGACGAATTGGGGGCTTCACCATGAAACAATAAATTATATTAAAGTGAGATTTATAGCCACCTTCTCAAATGAATCTAGAAATATACGCAATATCGCGGGCTGCACGCAGAGACTTGAAGCGTACGCACGCAAATGCAAAGATTAGTGGTTCATAAATGAAACCACTTTATACTTTTTACTGGCTCTTTCTTCAACCATGCCGTTAAAAAAGGGGTGCATTTCCTTCCGTTGAGAATAATCTCTTTGTAATTATGTCAGTAATTATTATGTCGGCTTACAACAGAAATCTCTTGAGCTGCGCAAGTTTAGGCAGTTTTGGCCCGCTCACCGTTTCACTCAACGCCAGGCGAACCCCCCCAAAAAAACCCTCCGAGGTAACACACTGAAAATAATATCCTGCAATGAAAAACGAGTTTATAGAGGCGACAGGCCACACCAGACTGTTATTTTTTATTTCTTGTATATTTAGCTCAGCACATTTCTGAACATTATTTCTTATCAAAAACCAATTCTCTGCGCGAGTGCGGGGCAGAGAGGAAGAGAAATGAATGTGGCACCTACTTCCAGGCGAACTCCAAATCTGGTGTTTATCAGCTCGGAGAGTTTGTTTTAATTAAGCTAAGCTTTATGAGCACATTAGTGATGAATGAAACTCTATAGCCAGCCTGGCGGTGTAGTAAAACTGCGATGGAGCAGCACTACAGTCGGTGTGTTTTCTGTCAGGACAGTTGATAAGAACCAGGTGAGAAGGTGAGGTAGAAAGTTTATGAGAAGAACCCAAACCTTGACCTGCCAGATGGAGAAGTTTCTGGCCTCCACACCCTCCAACCTGCCCTGCTCTCTCTCCCCCCCCCCCCACACACACTTTTCAACACATTTTCGTCCATCCATTCATCCATCCCTTCCAGTAATCCTGTCTCCCTTTATTGCTTCATTTTATTAGTGCGGGCTTGGTTCACCCTGACGCATCTCCCTGATGCTTTTTGTGCAACAGTGAAGTGTGTGTGTGTGAGAGAGTATGTGAGAGAGAGAGAGGGAAGAGGGTAAAGGAGAGGGTCTGTTTTTTCTCAGCTGTTTCTATGTAAATCTAAGATGAACAGGAAAAATAAGTCTACAAAACATGAGCACATAGGAGACAGATGTGTTCCCTGACTTTCTTCTCACTGACCTAAAAGAAAGCGATGATGATGATGGAGTGAGGAGGTAGCAGGCAGGCATGTATGTTCCTGTTCTGTTGCCCCGTTTGGCTTAAGTGTGGCTGTGTTATGACACGAGGTAACTAATGTCTTAATGCAGTTTTAATGTGTATTTTCATCTGTAATCATTTTCTCCACTGTTTTACATCCAATACAATTCTCACAGATCCCCCTTTCCAGGAATACGCACATTTGCTCACATACTGCTCAGGTTAAGTCCTGGGAGTCTGCCAGCGTGCTCTGATCACAGATTTACTGCAGGTCATTCTGGATTGATTATTGCACACTCACAGTAGTGCTTTATATTCTACACACTGTGCCCAGGTTAGCTTCTCTCTTTACAAACTCATAAAGAGAATTAAGCAGATTGTTGTGTCAGATTAGACTCACATCCTTTCTCCATTAGACAAATCCATTAGACACACACCCAGCCAATGTTACAACTCTCCTGCGCACAGATGCATAATGGAGCAAATATACACAGTCACAAATACGTAAACACTGAGTCTCTAGGTCTTGTCCTGAGCAAGGAGTAAGTGCTTAATGGTATGAAATGCTATTTCTCAAAAACTTGCCACCTGTCTTAATGCTTGTTTTAGGATGCCTTATAAAAATAAAATGTTTCATTTGTCTTCTGTTGGGAAATTCACTGTTTTTTCTGAGGCATATTTTCTGTTTGCAGAGAGGTTCTTAAGTCACCATCACTGTCCTGGAGATTTAGTGAATTACAGATTTAGAGTCTCTAGGGGAAACATAAGTTAGTGAGTGATTTAGTGTTGAGGCGATCCAGACAGACCTTGGACATCCTGAAACCTGAGGTTGTCCGATGTCGGGGTTAGGACATAATATTTATGAGAAAAACACACAGAGAGGAGAGGAGGACATCTATTTTAAAGCTACCAAACCACATGGCATTTGAACAAAAAAGTGTTTATTCCAGAACCTTTGAGTGTGATAATAAATACATGAGCACTTGGCCAACATCCTAGTGTGGTGCATGAAGCACACACACACACACACACACACACACGCACGCGCAGACACAGACACACACACACACACACACAAAGCACCGAAACCAGCTTCATCTTGGAAACACTGAAGTAGCCTCCTGTTCAGATCTCCAGCTCTCTGTGTTTGGGTTGGTCCCTTTACACTGTAAACGCTTAGCAGTGGGGTGTGTGTGTGTGTGTGTGTGTGTGTGTGTGTGTGTGTGTGTGTGTGTGTGTGTGTGTGTGTCCTCATATGTGGAAGGCTTTGGTAGGTTTTTTCCTCAAACAGTCCTATAGCTGGATTAACAGTAGTGTTTCACAGTCAACTGGCTGTACATGTGGTTAAACAGTGTCTAACTGTCTACTGCTTAACTGTAGCAGAGGTGTCGGCACAGAGCAGAGCTGTAAAAATAAACAGTCATTCAATTTTTAAAAAATAATCACATCAACATCCTGCGTGTCAATTACAAGCCATGGTGAACAGACAATAGCATGAATTGTAAAAGGTGAGTTTGCATTTTTGTGGAATGTGTGAGTGACAATGACAAAATGGATCTCAAGCAGGTTTGTTTAGTCCATGAACGTCTTCGTCTCCTGTGTGCATTTGTGTTTTTCTCATTCGTCTCTGTCTTAACGTGTGTCAGTCGTTGTAATCTGCTGACGTTTTAAGGGTCAGCGTGCAGAGGGGAAGCTGGAGAGAGGGGTGCGTGCGTGTGTGGAGCAGTAGTAGTGCATCCACACACACACGCACAGACTGTCAGTGCTAGTTTAGTGACGGGGAGCGGTCGGTGGTCCACAGCAGCTCGATGTAGGGCCACTTGGTCTGTAGGCAGCGCTTGACTGGAGTGTCGTCTGTCCGAACCATGGGGTCCTCAAAACCCAGCACCAAAGTCGTCCCTTCCACATATTCCACCTGAGACATGCACACACACACACACACACACACACACAAGACACAGGCCAATACACAGTTAACACAAAGTTAGCTAAACACACAAATTTAAACACTTTCTCCCAACTTTGACAGGCTTCTACTCTATCAATTTCTTTTCAGACATTTACTCTGAAGGGGGTCAGGGGTGAGATGCAAGGGATGGATCTCACACATACACACACACGTACCAGCTGCAGGGGACTGCTGTCAGCAGGTCTGTTATTCTCATCTGGAGCTACAGGAATGGAATTGCCATCACAACCTTATAGGCGCCTTGCTGCCATGTGCATAAGTGTGTGTAGGCGTGTGCTTTTGTGTGGGCACACATGTGGTGCCATTCCTGTATTTTCAGGTAGTAGTATGGAAAAAAAGTCCGTACAGACTAGACAAAGCTAACAGATGAAGAAAGTGATATTCCTGAGTAACAGATTTAGCCACCAACTACACGCACTGACAATCATCCATCAAACTAAGCCAACTTAATAGGCCTGTGTTTGACCATTCATCACAGCTAGGCTGCTGACACTGGCTTCCATGTTAAAATGACTTGGAGAAATAGGAGGCTAAGCCGGGGTTTTTGGATGGATGGACAGGCTATTAGGCTTGCAATAGCTACTGTTTATTCTGGAGTGGCAGGTTGCCTCCAACTGTGTGTGCGCGCGCGCAAATGCTTGTGTATATAAATGATGACAGGAAAAGAAAAGAAGTAATAGGCAGAGAGAGAGAATATGAAAAGGAACCACCATCGTCAGCTGCTATGAAAAACCTGAGTATGAAAGAGTGTCTTACCCTCTCGTTGTGGTTAGACTGTTTAAGTCCATTGTAGTGGTAGATGGGAAATGAGTCTGGAATTCCTGAATCCTGAAACACAGGCGGGGAGCAGAGTGAAAAACATGCAATGTTGTTAAAGAGTCTCGGGGCAAACTGTTCTCACAGAGATGGAGCTGAAGTCCCTAGGAGGCAGAACATTGTTGAATCGAAATGTCAAACCGACACATCTCTGCCTGCAACCAAAGCTTACTGTTGAATCCCATGTGTTAAATTTAAATGTGTGTATGTATTTGTGCACTGAAGCAAAGCCAAACTCCAATTACCAGAAAGCAGCCAACACTACAAAAACGTCCGAACAATGACATTGAGCCAAAACACTTCCCATGACTTTGGCCAAACGTGCAGAATGCTAATAGGGTGTGTTGTCTGAGAGCGTGTCCAGCTTCTCGTGTTTATATGCCTATATATGAAACCCTAACCCTCACCCCAATCCCACGTGTGTCTGAGTGTGTGTGTGTGTCCAGTTGGCTAATGGTAGTATAATTTCTTTGCGGCGCAGGGGCCATTCCTCTGGCGAGTCCCTTAAGCCCTGATCACTTTAACACAGTTCCTCTCTATCTCTCCCTCTCTCGTCTCCCTTGCTTACTCTGCCTCATAAAAAGGCGCCTTTACCGCTCTTTCGAAGCTTTTCAGCAAGCAACGTCATATGATGGTGAACACGCACGCATACATTTTACATGAGACACCACAGGAATGTGTTTGGCATAAAAACCTTTGATTTGCTGTAACAACACTCCACATATGCTTGGGAAATAGACATTACTGTCCGTACAGTATGTGTGTGTACATGACATTTTGTACATGTGTTTTAACTGTAATACAGATTGTATGACTGGTGGAAGGTATTTGTCATATTTTGCGTGTTTTTGAAGTCCTCTGCACACACACATACCTGATCAGGGAAAAACTCCAACAGAAATGGCCCCAGAAGGATTATGCCCAAACTCTCCGGATCCAGCTTACTCTTCACCAGACTGACACTGAGAAGGCACAGAGATAGAAATAGGAAAGTGAGCCGAGGAAAACAGATCAAGAAATCCAGAGAGAAAACAAAAAAAGAAAGAACATGCAGCTCAAAATAAAAGAGGGGTTTAAAAGACCCACAAGATCAGTAAGAAAACAACAGTCTATGATGTTTTCTGTATGAAAACCAACAAATTTAGAACACCTCATCACTCAGTGTGGATGATGCGTGTTTTGGTGAGTATGCGCATGTTTTCATGAATACCGTGGTGCAACTAAATATACCTCTTTCCAGACATTCCTACGGGTTAGATCAGTGTTATCGTTATTCTGCTGTGATAAAAAAAAAATCTGGTCAGATTGCCCTTTTAAGGCTTTGAGGAGAGAAGCGAGGTTTATACTGAGACACAGAGGGAAGGCAATGATTGTTTCTTCATCTATCGATTTCTAAAAGTAGCATGTGCAGCCAGATAGCATACAGAGCAGACGGTGACCCAACCCAAAGTGTCAGTGAGCAGTCCTCTAAATCCTTAAACAACCAGATTTATCAGATGAGCTGTTATATAGCGAGTCTTCTGCTTCCTGTACAGGGCAGTGAGAAGTTAATACTTAAACACTATATCAGGTGACCAAATCAGAATACTGACACTAAACAAATAAATAGTCTTTTGTTTTTTGCCCATTTTTTAGACCATTTATCTGTGAGTGCTGGTATTCTGTTTGAAGTCAGAAAAAGAGAACATATCCTCAGGGATCAATAAAATATCTCCTTTTTATCAACATGTGGTTGTGTGTTGAAGGGGATCAGAGGAATAAGTTGTTTGTTGTGGGTTTGCACTGTATCCACTGCATGACTGTATTTGGCTTCATCTGAAAATGGACTGGACATGAGATGATGGTGTATGCAAATGCCTTTGTTGAGCATGCTACAGCCATCCTCTTTGTTTGGGTGATAATGTAGTCAGCGGATGTTTGTCTGGAGCAGTGTATCTATCATTTGTAACTGTATTGTCTTTAATAAGTACATACAAACAAATAGTAGGAAGGAGATAATCTGTGAATATTTTTCATACATTTCAATGTCAAATTTGCTTGAACTGTACAAATAGAACATTTCAACCTGTTAACATCGCTTGGAAATGTCATTGAATGACACTGGATTGGATATTCTGGATTTGCTCCAGTAAAAGGGAGAGTGACTTTGAGGACACAGTAATGATAACCAAGGAAATTAAATGGGAATATGCTGAAATGAAATTATATTTGATTAATTCATGTTTCTGATGCTAATATGCATCAGATGTTTGCCGAGAGGCATCATGTTTTTAGTGAATTCACATTAATTCATGCATACATTCAAGTTTAATTACACAAACAAAACCACAATAAACAAGAATTTCCTGTTTTTAAGAGCTTGAGTATGAATAACTAACCAAACGCAATAAAACAAATGATCAAGGAACTATAATTCCTTGGAGCTGTACCCTGACTTTTCCCGGAGAACAGTCAGTGTCGAAAAAGTTGGTTTACCACAAATAGTAGCAACAGCTGATGGTCATAGGTCCTAAGATATGTAGAAATACTAAGTCACAGACAACTTGAAAACAGTTTGCACTCATGTTCCATAAGTGATGAGAGTCTTCAATTTAGTATTTGTAGATACTCCTATTAATCATTTTTTCCCCCAGCACTAAAGATGCTACTTTTTCACATGGTGGAATCCCTGCAATAACTCTCTCATTGTGTGGTAAGGAATGAGACTCGGCTGTTTTCACTGGGAGTCTCTCCCCAATTTGCTGTGTTGTGTTGTGATGTATCGCCCATCTGGGGGTCTGCAGAGCAGATCAGTGGTCCAGTTACTTGGCCAGGCCCACGGCTGCAGCGTTAGGGGCTTACTGTTCCTCAGATGAGAACGTGCTTCTGTTTGAAGCGGCACTTTAAAGCGTTTCCTCCCTCTCTCAGTCTTTCTTCCTGCCGTTAATGATCTCCCTCTAAGCCTCTGTTTCTGACTTGTCTTTCTTTCATTCTTTCATTCTTTCTTTCTTTCTTT